TCGGGTGTGTGCGAGGCCCAGGTCTTCGCGAGGCTGACGCCCTTGAGAACGTCCTCTTCCAGAGACTGGTCGCTGACCTCCTCGACAGTCGAAGCAGTAGACGCCGAGGCCAAACTGTCGGCCATACGGAGTCGCTTGGGCCGTTGGAACCATTGGTCCGCTTCGAACTTCGTGGGAACGACAGACATGGCACCGCAGCCAACCTCTGGCCTCTTGTAGCCCTCGAGCAACTTTTTCCTCGTAAGCCCATGCCACCCTTCCAAGCGGCCGATGGTCTTGGACGTCCCGTTCCTCTGCTCTGCTTCACGCTGCACTTTGTTTGCATCTTCGACCAATTTGCTGTTCAAGAGGCCGGACCACAAACGACGCAAAAAGGCCAAGGTGTCCGCAGCAACCTCAACGAAAGACCCTGCTCGCAGCTCGGACAGCACCAAAGCCATGACTGGCCCCGTGGCCGGGTGGCCTTCGAGCAGCTGCTTGGCCTCGAGGGACCCTTCCTTTTGAACAGCCTGCACCGTCTTGTCCACGTCTGCGAGGAAGCTCAGGCTCGCACGCCGTGCCTCCGTCGACTGGTGCAGAAGGCCAGCCGTGGACCCCCAACCGTTCGTGGAAGGCAGCTGGCTGCCGCACCGGTACCGAAGAAGCCGCTGTGTGAGACGAACGACCCTGCGAGCCACAGCATCCTGCCAGGTGACGGCCGCCTCTCGAGCTTCCTCCTCCGGCAGCAGCATGGACATGTCCAATCCAATCCGCTGCAGAGCGGCGAGATTGGACAGCTTGGCCACGTGTTCGTGAGCGACCGTCATGTACTCCCAGTGCGCCCACTCGGAGTACTGCTTGACTGTCGCTTCCGCCGATCGCAAGTCCTCGAGCATCTTGGAGCAGCGAATGCCCTCTGGCCCAAGGACGAAAAACACTGTCCGGGCGAGCGACTTGTTGTCCGGGTTGCAAGCGAACATCGTCATGCCATGCAGAGTGTTCACCGAACGGCCTCGCTGCTTCTGCAAGGCCTTTCGAGCGGCGGACTTGGCAGCAGCCCTGGACGAGCCCGCACTCTCGGCGACCTCACTCTGGGGCGTCCAAAGGTCGGCCGCAGACTTGGCCCAGCCTTCCGCCACGCAAATGACCACGAGGACGAGGCAGAACGCCGACCAGTCCCTGTCGAGCTCGGCATGGGCCGTGCTGAGGCTGTTGAACCTGGACTGAGAGGCCTTGCTGCCTTTGCTCCTGACGAACGACCTGTTCGGCAGCGACTCGAGAAACGCACGTCGCGACTCCTCCGTGTTCTCGTCCTGCGAACGGCCCTGGTCGGCGAGAATCTCCGGGAAGAAGGCGAGGAGCAGCGGGTCCGACGGCGACATCGAGCGGCTCATCTCGTCGGCCATGGTCTGGACCTTGCCGAACCACGTCCCCTTATTCCAGGGGCCATAGCGAACGTTGTACAGCCCGATGGACACGATGCTGAACGTCAAGAGCCCGGCCGCTGCCATGGCCAGGTGAACGTCGTTGTGCGAGCGGTGGGCCGGGTCGGGCACGTGCTGCACGAACAACTGCCGGCCGAACGACAGGTAGTTGGCGGCTGCCAGCTGAGTGGCCTCTTGGTCCGTGCAAAGGACCAAGACGAAGGGCCTGGCCTCGTCGGTCGTCCTCCGGCAGCACGACCAGGACCACCCAACGACCGCGAGGCTGTGCGAGAGGTCGCGAAGCCACTCCTGAGTGGCCTGCCGTTCAGGCTGCCTGACCCCACCGGTGGCCTTGTCCGCCGAGCGACCCTTCGTGCCAACTTTCTGGAAAAAGCTCGTCAAGCGGCCTTGCCACATGTCTGTCCAGGCCTCCGAGGTGATGGCCGTCCCCTTCTTGACCTGCGGAAAGCAGAAAACTTGCCATCTTGTACTTCGAAGAAACGAAACACCTTAAAAAAAACCTACAGACACAGCCCTTAACTCGTCCTACTTCTATCTTAAACCAGATCACCACGTTGAAGCCTTGCCTGCTGCCGTGTAGAAATGGTTCCGGTCCGACAGCCTAAACCCGCCCCCACAGCCCTCACCAACTGCATTTGCAAGGCTATATAGTAGCCAACCTGACACAGCGAACTGAAAACCTGCGGTTTGCTTCAGAGTTTGTGACCTCGGGTGCTCTACTGCTCTTTGACGCACGAGAAACACGAAAACGAACACGTCCGTCACGCAAAAGCAGACGCAGCAACAAGCTCGACAAAAGGGCTTCCTGCAGCCTCCCTGCGAAGCCAAAAATGGCTCCAATTTTGGTCCAAAACGGTATGGTTTTGGACCACGAAACCTAGGGAACGATACGGGTATGGTTTTGCGAGGGCGGCCCTTAGGGAACGATAGGTGTATGGTTTTGCTAGGGAGCGATAGGTGTATGGTTTTGCCTGGAAGGCAGTGATCATGCTAGAAGGCAAGGGCGGGTGCCCGGGAAAATCCGCCGGCTGGCAAAAAGCGAAATAGGGAACGTTAGGTGTATGGTTTTGGCAGGGGCCGATAACTGCAGGTTTGCTTAGGGACCCTAAAATGTATGGTCGACTCTAGGGAGCGTTTAGTGTATGGTTTTGCGGCACCGAAACTGGACCTAACCCGCGGACAGAAATCCCTCTATAGCAAGCCCTCCCTTGGCGGCCTGCTGGGGGCACACGAAGGACAAGTCCTGCTCGGTGTCGCACAGAAAGACGTTCAACCAGTCCTCCTGGCCCACGTGAACGGCATCGGCGACGACGCTGAGGACCCGACTTGCCGCAAACGTCTGCCGACCTGCGGCCACGTACGAGAGACGTTCCGCCTCCAAGAACTTCCCGGGTCGGTCCTTGTTTCGCTTGCCCTGCTGCTCCCCGGTCGCCGAAGAGGCGAAGTGCGACTGGGCCTGAAGAGCCGCTGCTATCGAGGGACCTGCCTCCGAACCAGCTTGCAGAACGGCCTCCTGGCAGCCATGTGAGGCCTTGCGATAGCCCCTGGCAGTCCTGCATATCCAGGGTGTCTAAAAAACCTAGCAAAAACCTTGGAAAAAGGCTGAAACGCACCTGAAACGCACCTGAAAAAAGCTGAAACGCACATACAAGACCCTAAAGGGTCCCTGGGTTGTGATTTGCAGGGTTTAGGAAGTTTAGGATTTGGCTTGGCATCCAGCAATCCACCCGCAAACCCTTAGGGTCCTCAGCTGGTCCAAGGATTCCACTCGATTGGCCGTCCAGACTGTCTTTCCTGCAGAGTCGTCGATGGCATCTGCGAGTGCCCGGACCAAGCGACTGAAGATCTTCTCGGCCACACGCCGACGGTCGCCAGAGAGGCTCCTTCGACCGGCATCCTGTTGTAAGATCTTCAAAGCCTCTACGACTGGCACGGTCTTTCGCTTGGCAAAAATTTTTGCTGCCATCTGACCCACCTTCGCGGTGACGAGGGTCTCGACCGACAAGTCGCCCTCGACCACGACGAAGTGGCCTTTCCGAACGTCCTGCCAGAAACAGTCCCGCATGCCACAGAGAAGGGCCTCTGCCCTGGCCTGGATCTCGGCTGAATCCAAGTTCCACTTCGCATTCGCCCGGGTGCCCTTGGACATCAGCTGGGCCAGCCAACAAAGACAAGCGAACGACGAGAGGCTGAAGTCACCTCTCTGGAGAGGACCGTCCTCGTCGACCTCGTCGGCTTGGCCCTCTTCCTTCACTTCGCCTTTGACCTCGCCCTTGACCTCGCCCTTCAACTCGTCCTGCGAGGTCCTCTTTGACGCCTTGTTCTGATCCTGGACCTGCTGGATGCGAGTCATCATGGATGATGCAGTCATGTGCTGTTCGGCAGAAGGCAGAATGTCCTCGGCCTCTTCGCCATCCACCATCGCCTCGTCCTCGGAGGACGACAGGCCGTCGGCCAGAACGGACGACGTACGGGAGGCGATGACGTCGCGACTGCGGCCGCCGAAGTTGTGACTCTGAGTGCCGCCCAAAAAGTCAAGGATCCACCGGAAGATCCAGAAAAACACTCCTGGATTCGAGCGGCCATCCGCCGCCGCGATGGGCCGGCGAAACTGGTACACCTCGCCCTTGAAGGACCCCTTCTTGCCGCAGGGGAGAACCACAGCTCGCACGTCCCTGTCTCCATCCGCCGGTGCTTCTCGAACGTCGCTTGCTCCAACGGCCCTTGCCTGTTGGGCCGCCGCCATGATGGATGGAGAACGGCCTAAAGCTCTACAAACTTTACACCTGAAATGTGGTCTGCCCGCTGCACTGCCTGTGGTTCTTACACTCTGGCCACAAGTCCTGGGGATGTTCTGGCTTTCTCGCACTTCGCAACTGTGCACGACTCTGCCTCGACTGACAACCCCTTAGCCTTGAGCACGGGCTGTCTTCGGAACCAACAGACAAAGTCAACACTGCCGAAACACAAAGCAGCAGCCTGAAGGAGCAGCGAGCCACGGGGAGCCGAGCACCGGGCCGCAGTCGCTGTGGCCAGAGCCTGTCCGCAGTAGTTTCCGACCCCTTGTTTAAAACCCAGCAAAAACCTTGGGAAAAAGCTGAAACGCACCTGAAACGCACCTCAAAAAAGCTGAAACGCACATACAGCACCTTAAAGGGTTCGTGTCCCTAACAGAGGAACCCTTAACGCCCCGAAGTGTCCAACCTTGGCCTTATTATTCAGTACGCAGCAAAAACCCTAGGAAAAAGCTGAAACGCACCTGAAACGCACCTCAAAAAAGCTGAAACGCACATACAACACCCTAAAGGGTTCGTGTCCCTAACAGAGGAACCCTTAACGCCCCGAAATGTCCAACTTGGGCCCTATTGTTCAGCACACTACCAAAACCCTGGGAAAGAGCTGAAAAACACCTGAAACGCACCACCAAAAAGCTGAAACGCACACACGACCCCAATGCACGCAGCTCTTTCTTCTTCCATCTGCCATACCCCATGTCCTTGACTCAAATCCTGCAAGGAGCCCCACCCGAAAAGGGCCATTGTTTCGAACGACAAAGGCCTACCCCGTGAGACCGGCTCAGTCCTTCTTGGCCTTCTTCAACGCCCACTTGGCTTTCGGATCAATCTCCCGAACCTCCGGGAACAACGTCCGGCACTCGAACGCCACTGCTGGGTTGGCCTGCGAGTAGACTCGGCCGCTTGGGCAGTCCTGATGGTCCAAAACCCAAACGTCCTTCTCCGAGAGGGCAGGGAGCTTCTGAACGTCGCCGGTCAGGGCGAAAGTCACGGAACCGTCGTCGAGTGCCCAGCAGTTGCCGTCGAAGTCCTTGTCGACGGACGGGGCCACCTTGTGGTTGTTCAAGGCAGCGAACCGCTCCTTGGCCAGCTTCTCCAAGACCTCGAACGACCTAGACCCTGCAGGCAATGGGACGTCCTCGTGGACGAAGAACTGAATCGAGAAGAAGCCGTTCAGAACGTCCGCCGGAACCCCCGTCTCGGACATTCGCACGCCGATGGCCTCGAGCATGAAGACCTTGACTTCGTCGGGCAACTCGCCGAACGACTTGGCCTTCCCGACCCATTTCTCTGGACCCGCCGATCTGCCTGACTGATCGCCGGTCGCCCCGGGAGACTTCAGCAAGGCTTGGAGGGCGCCATCCCGGATTAGATCCGCCAGAGGGCGGATCCAAGCCGGGTTATCGTCGAGCTGGCTGTCGACGAACGCCCTGGCTCGCTCGAACGACGACTCGTGGAAGTTGGCCAAGCTCTTGGCGAAGGTCTTCTCGTTACGCTTGGCGAGCTTCTCTTCCTTCTGCCTCCTCCGGACGGCCGCCTTCTCCTGCTGCTTGCGAACGGCAACCGCCCTCTTGTTGCCCATGCTCGCCCTGGCCATGCTAGCGACGAAGGGCCACGAACGACCCTAAGAGGATGGACTTTGCCAAGCAAGCCTAACTATGCGATCCTGAGCACGAGCCCTTACAATGGAAATGCACACTTTCGCAGGCACATCGATCACTGGCACAGCAGTGACATTGACATCTGAAGGATTCCTTTCACACGGGGTTTGATGCAACGTCTATCCTTGATTAATCAATGAATCCGAACGACCCTGGGGCTGGGAGCCTTGGGACTTTGAATTTGTGCTACAGCACTGCCACACCGGAGATTTGGGGCTCTGCTTCAAAGTCAAAAACCAACCGACCAAAACCGGCCTTGCGAGCGACCTCAACGACGGGAATCGCCCCGCACGATCGTCCCACCTTCCAAAGCTATACGGTTGAGGCGATACAGGGTAAAATCAAAATACTGGTGCAAACCTGTTTCAAGCCTAAGGGTGGATTAATTGCACCATTGTTTTAGTATGAGGGTGGGGCTACAAAGTGATTTTATTTTGGGATTTTGGTGTGTGGGAGGCTACTCACTGTTGCATGGGCTATTGCGGTGACTACTATGATGAACCAAAATATGTTGAAATATATTGCAATGTCTTATGGCTCTGTACTACATATAAAGACGATACACAATACCTCTATGTGTTGCCCTAATAGTTGCCGATGTGCTTTTGCGAATTTTGCAGCCAAGGTTCAGGATTGCAGTTTGTTATGTGAGTTGGGGCCCAGGTAGAAAGGGGCGGATGCACGAGTTGATTGTTAAATTGTTTAGTAATGGGGTTTTGGAGCTTGGGTCCCAAGCTTAGGCTTAGGCTTCCTTACTATTATTGCATATATTCCAATTATAAATTAAACTTAGACTCTATTCTAGGCTCTATATTATTTAAATTAATTAAAGCTACCACCAGCTCAGCTGCACAAAGCACTCGGGCACGGCACGAAAGTCGCAATCTGAGTTTCGGCGAACGACCTAAACCAGAACTGCTGGAAACCACTGAACTCCGAAAGACCCAAGGACCCAGCCGCTTCTCCAGAACCGGCCTGCTTCGACATCGAACGGCCCAGCACCTGCCACGCAAAAGGAAATCGCAGCACACACTCGCAAAGCACGAAAGACTAGACCATTGCACAAGTACGGCCAGCTCCTTTTTCGGCTGCTTTGCATGGCACGGGCACGTGCCCGGTTGTCGCCAAAATTTGGCTCCACGAACGGCCGCTGTGGCAAAATGGTGGAGCAACGATCATGTGGCCCTGGTGCCTGAGTCGGGTCAGTCACAGCAGACTATTAATTGATTAACTCGCCGCTCTTACCATACCACAAGCAATCCAACAGCTGCAAGAGACAAGTCACCACGATCGCCCACGCCGAACGACCTAGCGATAGTCGTCGTATCGGCGACGGCGGGGATCCTGGATTCCAAGCACCAGCGAAGGCACACACACACACACACACGAACGACCAAAACTCTAAAGTTGCAAGCAAGGCACGGGCTCGCCACGACGGTCCAGCCAGTGAGGCGCCGGACGACTGGGGTGCCCCGGGTCCGAGAGCCGCTCGTCATCCTCGTAGTGGCGGCGGCCCGGGGGGCGATAGTTCGCCCAACGATCGTCACGGCGATCGTCCGGTGGGCCATAGGGACGACGATCGCGATCGTCGTAACGATCGTCACGGCGATCGTCCGGAGGAGGGCCATAGCGGCGATCGTCCCGAGGATCATAGCGACGATCGTCCGGAGCATAGCCACGACGATCGTCGTAGAACTGACGATCGTCGTAGAAAGGCCGGGGCTCCGGGGCACCTCGACTCATCACTTTAGAAACAATCATCTTATCAGTCGTGACCCCTGAACCTTACTTACTTGAATGCCTTCAGGTCACGGCGATCGTCCGCGAAATCTCGGGGCGGCGGACCAGGAGGAGGCCCTCGATTGACCGCCCGAGCATGTGGCCCGAGGTTAGCCGGAGGGCGGTCGCCGCTGCTGCCTGGGCTTGCTAAGCTGAATTGCTGGATAAGTTAGACAACCAGAACGAGCGACCCACTAACAAAAGCCCGAGCGACCCGGCAGTCCTGGAATGTTTGGGCGAAGGCGGTCCAGCTCCTTACGAACGGCCGACGTGATGGCGGCCGCCGGGTTGTCGTACTGCGAGCGGTCGGAGTTCTCGCCTCAGTTTCCGAACCGCCTACGAACGACCACAAAAAGCATCCCCCACATGACTGTTGCAACCAAGTTTCGCTGAATGACCTGGAAGAGCTCCCGCACGAACTTCGCCCCGTCGTCACTGTGGCCGGCCAGGTTCGCGACCGACTTAGTTGAGTGTGAAAGATTAAAATATGTGCATCCGAGCGACGAGCGACACTGACTGATGCATCCGAGTGACCCGCATGCAACGCTCGTCGATTTGGAGCTGGTCCAGTTCGATGAGGACCGACGGTGCCACTTTCCAAACGTCCAAACGAACCTAACTTGCTAACTCCAAAAAACGCACAAACCCAGAGACACACCTGAGTTAAGCTGAGGGGCGGCATCGAGGACCGCATTCCCGACCGACGGCATCGACCCCTCCAAGCCATTGGGATCGAAAACGCCGTGGCCGTAGTCGCGGCCGGCACCGTCGAACGGCGGGGCCGTAGGCGGCGGCACGGGGCCACGAGCGACCGCCTGGTACTGCTTGAGCGACCCCATGACGTCGTCCGGCAACTTCGCGATCGCCCACCATTCCTTCTGAAGGCCCCCGAAAGTCGGAAGCCACACCGGAATGTCGTAGACCGCCGACAAACCCACGCCGAGTGTCGCAGACCGATTGCGGCCGTGTGAGCCTCGCAATACTGAGCAGAGGCACAAAACCCGAAAGGCCCGACGAACTACCACACGTGAACGACACACGACACTAATGCATCCAGAAACAGATGATCTGCAGGATCGAACGACCATCGATCTTCGACAAGGCCTCGACAATCGGGCAAAGGAGCTCGAAGCACGGCTGGTACTCCGGCTGGTTGAACGGCCCATTGAACGTCGCCAGCTTGACCAGCGGGTTTCCTCAACAGGGGCCACCGTACACACGATCTATAACTGCAGCAAAAACAAAACCTAGTCACACAGTTCACAGGGCAGTCCTGGAGGGCAGGACTCTCGTGCCTTGACGTCCGAATTCCAAATGCCACGAACGTCCACAGTGACATGGGTCCCCTCGACGTCGAGCCACCGCTTCTTCAAAAACCAAGGCATGCACGAGTGACCCTTTTGACCTCAGCTTCGCAACTAAAATCACAAACCCGAACAAAACTCCACTCAAAGGCAACATGAATAACTTAAGACTAGTCGCCGATGGACCCCGAACGACCCGAGGGGTGGTACATCTCCTCCGCACCCCAAGCGACGATCAACGGCCCGTGGTACCATGGGCCTTCGTCGATGCGATCCTCGCACGTCGTGTACTCGAGGTCCTCGTTCGTCGCCCTTGGTCCCTGACGTCCAGCCATGGCGAGTGACCACGAAAGGCCAACAAAAACTCCTAACCGAACGACCCACACCCAGAAGCCGAACAGCCTGAAGACCGAACGACCTTTACCGATATCCGAACGTCCCTGAAAATGTGAGAATCTGTGAATGTGAAAGTTAAACTGTGACATGTGATGCGAAATGTGATCCTTACCACGGGGTCTCAGGGCGACGATCTTGGAGCAATGATGCTGCTAGAGTCAAAGTCCCTCATGTGCACATGTGCAAAGCATGTCAGACTGCAAAACGCCCTGGTGCATGCAAGCGAACTGCAGACTAAGAACCCAAACATGCAGGGAGCACCAGTCGCAGATGAGGTGCTCGAAGACCAGGAAGGAGTCGAACGACGAACGACCGACCCGAACGGCCCCTAACAACTTATCTTTTATTGCTTTTTGCCTGAACCTTGACATCCAAACCATATGTTTCTTGCGAACAAAACTACCTTCCCGCACAGTGACCTCCTACTATATAAAATCCCATCCAATAAGCCTACATAAATACTGTATTATCCGGCCCAAATCTTAAGTCTTCTAGACCAAATCCGCTAAAATACACTATGCTATCGGTACTTGCACCCCCCCGGGGCCCAGACCCCTGAAAACCTGCACCCAAGGTTCCCTGCTATTTGGGGTCCCCTATGAGTCCCCCTGACCTAAAGCATACTCGCAGGAGCTATAGTCCAGAGAACCTGCGCCCGAATTGCGTGCCAAATCCTGCATTGGAAGTAAGTAAGTTTGAGTATCATTGGCACCCAACCTCAAACCTCCCAGAGAAGGAAAGCTGGCATAAAGAGTTCCCATGAATTTGACTTCCACTCTGAACTCTAAAGCCCAAAACACTATAAACCCTAGAAGCCCCTACCAACGCCTATAAGCCCCAATTGTTAAACCCTAAACCCTAAACCGAAGCCCTAAACCTGTTCAACCCTTAAGCTTACTTCGAAGGATGTTTTTTCCTCATGTTCTGGGATTATTTGTCCAGAGCCTCGGCTCGCGCCAACCACGAGCACTCTTTTGCCTCGTGGGTTTAGGATTGCCGGCCTATACGCTGGGGTTGTAGGGTGTCTAGACAGGGTCGTGGCGACGCAGCCTCGAGCTTTTGGCTTGAGCTTTCGGCTTTCGGCTTCCGTATTCTACTCTATTCTACTCTATTGCATAATCAAGATATTTTGTATTATCCTGTATTATACTATACAATCGATCTTGTGATTATATGATATAGTCTTACATGGGAGCTCAGGAGGTCGACGACCCACACCTTCGGGGTTTGAAGTAGCAGAGCCCTAAACTCTAACTCCCTAAGCTTGAACCTAAAAGCAGAGGCCGCAACCCCCAACTTGTAAACCGAAGCCGGTACCTGAAACTCTGCACCCTTGGCCCCAAACCTGAACTCAGAAAGCTAAAGTCCACAGTCCAGAGTAATTGTGAAAGCTAGGGCGGGGACCTTTCAGCCAAGAGCCGTCATAGACGGAGTCGATATCCAAGAACCGCCTGCAGCGCTAAACCCTTCGCTGCATACCTTCGACCCATGCCCTAGACCGTAGGCCTTTACGTTGACTTGAGCTCTGGATAACCGGAGCCACTCAAAGTCAGGCCCCAGGCTAGGAACTCATCGGGTAGATCGACAACTCTAACTTTCCCGACATCCCAAGTGAGCAAAGCTTTCAACCAAGCTTGACTCTCTTGTCCTGCAGAACAGTCTGAGAGTCTGAAACCCATTTGTACGGATGGTCGTGTCGCTGCTGCTGCCACTACTACTGCTAAGCAGGCTGCTGCTACTACTGCTACTACTGCTGCTGCTGCTGCTCCTGCTGCTCCCGCTGCTCCCACTCCTCCTGCTGCTGCCGCTGCTCCTGGCTGCTCCTGCTGTCGCCACTGAAACTGCACCTGCTGCTTCAGTTTTAACCTACAAACTCCCCTGTGGGCTGAACAGAGCGCAGTCATGCCAAGGTGCTGATTTTTCTCATCCTTCGCCCTCTCAAAGCGGGCCACCTGCACAAGCAAAGCAGGAAGCATTGATCTCACACCAGGCCGCTCTAAAAGGTTCCAAAAGGGATCTATAAGGCTATAAGGGCTCCTGAAAAACTTTACAGGGTTCGTTAAGGGGGCCTTGCGACATAGAATAAGGCTCCTTTGAGGGCTCCTCTAATAGTTATATACTAGTTCCATGTAAGGGCTACTATCCGGAATTTGGGAGTTTCCGAGAATAGGGTACCCTAATATAGTACCTTAAATATTAGGATCCTTGTTATACGGACCCCACAATAAGGTACCCCGAATTTTCGGAAACTCCCAGTTGCATCGCTGTCCAGCAGTAAGAGGCGGGCTTCGGGTGACCTTCTCTTCAAATACACCTTTTTTTTGGTGACTTCAAGGGAATACCACTACTAATCACTCAATCTTCCGACACTCTATAAAAGGTCTTCAGGTAAAGAAGTAGACCAACGCAAAATCATTACTTTGTCTCTGGCAGAATGAGCATATTCATCCACACACACATATAGGGAAATGCACAATCAGGCTCGTATGTTTGGGTTTGGGGAATCCCCTAAACTCTAGACATGGTGTGTGGGGCGGGGGGCGATGCACTGAGACATCTTGCGACGGCTGGGCAAAGGCCCGTGTCATGCGTGCTCGTAGGTAGTGAGGAATTAGGGTTCAAGGTTTAAGGCTTAGGGCAGGTAAAAGCTTCGAAAGATTCGCATGGGAACTGGGCTCTTGACCCCAAGCCCTAACACCCTAAAACCTGAGCCTATAAACCTACTGAGTCCATTCAGTTGCAGAGCGGGGCCGTTGAATTAGGACGGGTTGGTGGGTCTCGGGGGTTGGAGTCTAGCATTCAGGGTTTCAAATCTTGGGGTTCCTGTTAGGGGCCTCCATAATATCTTTCTGACTCGGAGCTTACAATCTAGGGTCTATACTCTATACTTTGTGTCCTCGAATTCCTGCATCGTTTTGAGGTTCGATCGCGGTTTCTGAGCTTAGAAGGTCTTCTTGTGTGTTTGGAATGCAAACAGGAAGAAGACTCAGAAGCCTTTGGAATAGAAAAACAGTCCAAAATGCCATGATGGCCTCAAAAACTAGAAATAATTCCCATCATCAATACAGAAACCGGGAATGCCCCGCAGCCCCAATGCACCTGGTCCGCAAGACTGTACTTGCGCTCTGGCAAGGGCTCAGCATGCGCCTCTTACTCAGGGCTCATGTGCGGCTTACGTTGTGGGTTTAGTAGGGCCAGTCTACGGCGCATGATACCACGAACTCTAAGTACCACGAACCCCAAAGCCCCTAACCCCCGAACCCTAAAGGCCCTCAAGCACTCTAAACCCCAAACCCCGAACCCTCAGCCCTGAACCCTAAACCCTAAACCCACCTTAAACCTCTCCAGGGGTTGCCTCCCCCCTCAACACGCCTCTCACCTTTCGAGCCCGAGCCGAAAATCTACAGCAAAGGCAGTGGTCTGAAGAGTTGCGATCGAGTTCAGGGCTTCCGGATTATAGGGCTTGCGGTTTAGGGTTTAGGGTTCAGGGTTTAGGGTTTAGGGTCTAGGGTTCAGGGTTTAGGGTTTAGGGTCTAGGGTTCAGGGTTTAGGGTTTAGGTTAGGGCCGTAAAGTCTAGGGGGTTAGGCATTAAGGCTTGAGGCTGAACAAACCTTCGGCCAAGAGTCTGCGGATCTGCACGTGGTGTCCTTCTCCGAGAGCTGCGATGCGAATCTTGCATTCGTATGGGTGACGCGGTCGAGTTGAAGTAGCGACCGGTGCAGCGGAAGCCATGCTCGGACAGAAGTCTTAATCTTGAAACCCTAAACCCAACACCGCGAAGCCGAGACCCGAAACCCACACCGTAGTTCTAACCTGGTCTTATGTCCAAATCCCTTCGAAGCAGGACCTTCGGTAGGCAAATGGAAGTAGAACTGAGAATCTCGATGCAGCTTCTGCCCCAAACCCTGGATCTCCCCTAGAACACGGACCCTACTTGGAGGATCATGGGACTTAGTAACTAGGGTCATAAATCAGGTAACTATACTTATAACTCCAATTAGGGTACTTATAACCTTACTTACTAAGTCCCATGATCCTCCAAGTATAACCCCAGCTCAGCCCAAAACCGACAAGGGATTTCCCCCCTGTTGTGGGCCTTCTTGGCTGTGGCAGCAGAGAGGCCCACGGCCTCAGGACTGTCAAGGTGTGCGCTCGTGCTCTTCGTTCAGTGTAGGCTTTCGGCACTTTAGGCTTTGGGCTTCATCGTGTTGAAGTTTTAGGCCTTTGGCGGCAGCAGGTTTATGGTTTAAGATTTAGGATTTAAAGGGTGCTGGGTCTAGAGCTTCAGGGAGTAGGCATTTTCCTCGACTCAAGCATCACGAGACTTAGTAAGTAGGGTATACCTAGAAACTAGAAACACGAATTAAGCGGACAGTGGATGCTTGGATGATGACGACAGCTGCCCGAATGCTACGCTACGCATGGCTCCAAAACCGAAAACAGCCACCCTGGCTGTCGCTGAAGCCCGACAAGCCCTGCGGCTCCCAACATTGGATGCGAACATCTGACAAGACTTTAGGACATGCCACGCTAAATAGATAGATAGATAGCTACATGGGTGAGTAGATAACTACGCATCTCGATGGTACGATGAAGGCATAACGGCTCAAGAAGGCTGTCGCCATGTCTGAAAGTCCGAAATGACAGCCTTGATTACGAAACCACTTGGCTGCCCGGCCGTGCAGATGGCCGCGGCCACTGAAGCCAAGCGCTCGGGAGCGAAGCCTGCCTGACACCGAGACATGTCTCGTACGTAGTGCCTGTGCGTCTACACAATAACTTCAAATAGCTTGGCATTGGAGGATCCCGCATCCATACGACTTCCGCTGCACCGTTTTGGTGGATGAGTCATTGTCGAAGGGGTGGCAGGTTGTGCAGCTGGTCGAGGTGTTGGTGCTGGTGCTGGCGGGTCCTGATCGCGCTTGCGTTGTCGCGCTGTTTGAGTTTATTGGGGTGTTTCTAGTCACCGTGGTCGCCGCGACAACTTCCTCCTCGTCGCAGCAGCCGTCTTCGTAGCTTTTTCTCGTCATTGTTGTGTCAGCATCAGTATGCCCAACAGCTCAGCAGCAACAACGGCAAAATAGGTATACGGGAGATGACCTATCGAACCTTCATAGTGCCCCAAGTCACGCACAAGCTTATCAAACTGCAAAGCGGAAGAACCCTCCTCGAACTCTCAGCCGTGTAGGTCTGCGCGTGTGTGTATATCTCGTTGTCTTGTGTCGTCGTATAATCACGATATATTATGTTAGAGTAAACGAAACTGATACTACATTATATTTCATACTGTTATACTCTAATATGTTAAACTGCAACATGCTACATTATGTTATACTTTCCTACATTGTACTTTGGCATGTAAAATTGCAGTGTACTACATGAAACTATACTGCAGTGTATTATTATGCCACGTAGAATATACTGATGTGATCACTTGTACACTTCTCTGTTTATCCTTTTTGTTGCCGTATGTCTTTACTTAGTTGCTCGTCTATCTTTGCACTTCTGCACACGCATTGCCCTTGAATGGTTACACGTGCATGCTGTCAAACCCAGGCAAAAACAAAACTGCAATCGTTGACAGGCCCTAAACCCTAAACCCCGAAACCCTAAAACCTAAGACCCAAAGCCCGTAAAACCTAAACCCCTAAAGCCCTAAACCCCTCAAACCCTAAACCCTAAACCCCTAAACCCCTAAGCCCCTACATAAACCCTAAAGAAGCCTGCCTCGCTTCCGGGCAGCACCCTGCGCATAACCTGATGAGGGCGTGTGCTCGAAGCACCTGGCATGTCGAGGCTCGGGTTTAGGATTCAGGGTTCAGGGGTTGAGAGGTTTAGGGCTTTAGGGTTTAGGGTTTAGGGTTCAGAGAAGCCAACCGTCGAAAACGAGAGACACCCTCAAGCCGAAACCATTTAGTCACTCTTTGTTGTTACCAAAACACAAAGCAGCCTGCCTCAACCGCAGGGCCTACGCCGTTCTCCCTGAACCCTTCGGCTCCCCTAAACCCTGAACCCTAGGCCGTGTTGGTTGAGGAATTTGGTTTAGGGTTCAGGGTATGTTTTGCAGGGCTTAGCAGCCGAGCCTTTAAAGCCTAGATCTCGAGTTAACACGGGAATCGGTCTGGGGTTAAGGGCGGGTTAATGGCGTGATTTCGGTGTGTCAAGCGGCCTAGCATCCCGGGACTAAGGATCAATCAAGGGCGGCCGATTGGCTGGTTCTGGGATAAACGAGGTGGAGGGAAAAAAGAACGCACCCTTCATGTCTCCTGCATTAACCACAAGTGAGCTTGACACTGACACCTGAAACCCTAAACGGTAAAGCCCCAAGCCTAAAAAAAACCTTCAAGCCCGAAACCCGAAGGCCCCGAGGCCATAAACGAGTTTAGAACAACACCCGAAGGCCCTGAAGCCCTAAACCGAATCACCGCCCCTTCCCAGTGCCTCGTGTTGCCGAGCGGCTGCTGAGGAAGCAAGGCCGCGCAAGACCTGCACGGAAAGATCCGCTGTCAAGTTGGGATGAGCTCGAGAAGGGCTTGGTGGTGAAGCCTGTTGCAGCCTTCGGGCTTCTACATATCTATACGGTGTTGCAGTCGGTCTAGAAACATGCTACACCACAGACCAGGCAAGAAATGATCCCAAGAAAAGCAAGACAGGAGCAACGCTGAAGCCCGGACGTGAGTTGTGTTGCGTGCCCCATTTACAATATCCCAGAATCTTCCAGGGCTTCTTATCGTAAGTTGCGTTGTAGGGTTTGCCTTAAAGCCTGCCTAGACCCTCACCTCGAAAGCCTAAACCCGAAACCCTGAAGCCTACTATCTTTTCGAAAGTCTGAGAAGCAAACCCTCCACCCACAAGCTTAAAGCATAGATCCTGGCACTGCAAAAGAAGGTCGAAACAGGAAAACATGCTCGGTGAGTCTTTGAAACGAGTGTAAAAAGAGAACTACGCTTCAGAAACCCCACTTAGGCTAATCACTTGCAACTCTACTTCGACCCGACCGGCTGAAACCCTGATCCTTTCAGCAACCCCAAACCCTAAACTCTCACACTAAGTCCTCGACCCTAAATCCTAAACCTTTAACCTAGATCCCAAACCCTAAACGCTCTGTCCTCAAGTGGTTGCTTCGGGACAGTCCGTAATGGATGCATGCATAAATGCTACATGGGAGCTTCCGAAAGTACCCCAAATAGTAGGATCCTTATTACTAGGACCCCAAAATAACGTACCCCCCAATTTTCGGAAACTCCCGCATCCCAAACCCCAAAGACCCTACGCCGCTTGCAAGGCCCGGGCTACCGAGACCTCGAGCCGTAAGAGCAGCCATGAAGGCCAAAGCCTTACATTTGGGGTTGTAATGTAAGGTTTAGGGTTTAGGGTTTAGGGAGGGGCCTTCATCACTAGAACACTGCGTTTTTAAGGGTTTACGTAAGGATTTAGGGCCTTCATAACTAGAATAGGATCTGGGGGTACATTTTAGTGTGGTGATAAGGAACCTTGGCGAGGTTCAGGGCGTGCGGGTTGTGTGGGGGTTTCGGGCTGAGAGTGTAGGATTCGGGGTGAGTGCTTAGGGCCTAGGGCCTAGGGTTTATCATTCAGTATAGGGTTGAGGACTGAGGTCAAAAGCCAACACACCAAGACCAAAATGATTGACCCCCGACTATCAAAGCCGCGAAAGTAAGCCTAAACCCTAAACCCTAAACCCTAAAGGATTATCCCACTCCACCACACAAGACTTGAAACACTGAGCGGAGCCCTGGGGCATGTGCTGCCATACCTGGTGCTTGAGCCCCGAAGCAGTAGACTTACACTAAACCCAAAACTGCCTTTAAACTCTTGAATCCCAATCCCCGATCCCTTAAAGCATACATCCCAAACAGGAACCCTACATCCTACTCCCTCATCGTATGATGTTTATGTATATGTGTGCGTATGTATGTGTGTATATTTATATAATTATACAGATATAAGTACTTACTGATTCATTTTGCTAGTTCGCTACCTAAGTATACACAAGCGGTACGAGTAGTTGGTATGTATATACATATATATATATATATATATATATACACATGTAGAATAAGGGCAGAGACAGGGCTCCCCGCAGAGGCACTGGCAGCTCGAGGGTTCCGCCTGGGTTCCGACAGGTCTGTTCCGGGTGATGTGAGTTTAGCGGCTTAGGTTTTATGGGGATTAAGGCAGGGTTTCGAGCTTCAGGTCTTTGGCTTTTTATGGCTTGGCAGGGTCAGGAGTTTTAGGTTCAGGCTTGGGGAAAAGGGTTTGGGGTTTGGGATTGTCCAGGGCTGCCGGTTTTAAGGATGCGCTACCCGACATCAGGCTTCTAGTTTCCAGTGGTTTAAGGAGGTGTAGGGCTTCTGGCTGAGAGCTGGGGATGACGGTGTAGGGCTTGAGAATTCTGTTTTTAAGGTTCTGGTTCCTTGGTTTTGGTACTATCGTGACGATGATGAGCTCGTATTGCGGAAGCTATCTTTACTGCTGCTGCTCCTGCTACCACTCATGCTCCTGCCGCTGCTCCTCCTGCTACTCCTGCCGCTGCTCCTCCTGCTCCTGCTACTCTTCCCGCTCCTCCTGCTCCTCCCGCTCCTCCCTGCTCCTGCTGCTCCTGCTGCTCCCCCTGCTCCTGCCACGTCGCTGCTACTACTGCTGCTACCACCACCACCACCACCACCACCACCACCACCACCACCACCACCACCACCACCACCACCACCACCACCACCACCACCACCACCACCCACCACCACCACCACCACCACCACCACCACCACCACCACCACCACCACCACCACCACCACCACCACCACCACCACCACCACCACCACCACCACCACCACCACCACCACCACCACCACCACCAAGCTTTGCAAACAAGGCACGCCAGCATCGGCAACAGCTCCTCCGTCAATGACGGATGCAACGCAAATGGCTTGAGCCCAAATCGACGGTTTCTTATTTCGGCGCAGTCACGGTCAACAAATCAGGTTCGGCAGATGACATCAGGTTCAGACCCCTTCAGCTATGCAACGACCATTTCCACTGGGAGCCCCAGCTCTAGACAAGAAGCCCAACGTGCAGTTGCGTGCATGCTGCGTGCAAGGGTACCAAGGCATTAGTTGCAGCATGTCGGTTGACGTCAATACCGGGCGCTTTCTTGCTTTCGGGCGCGTCTGGGGTGAAACTGGAAGTCCTTTCGCAAGTGCAGGAGCATCTGCCGAACGCAAGTCACATGTTCGCGTCCCTCGGCTATGAGTGCAGCCATCCCAAATGCTGATTCACCACAGCCCTCGACGCAATCACACACACACAGACACACAGACACAGAGCAAGCTGTCTGGGCAGCAGTTTCATTCTTCCAGTAACTGGTCTCTACCAGTCCTGTAACCACTGTGTCTAACATGAGTTCTAAAATGAGACCCTCCGCCCCAAACGCTAACGGAAGGCAGTGTGGACATGGCAAATGCTCCCAGGCTTTACCGTAAAACCTGCTGGACACAGGTGAAACCTCGCGATCACTCATCTTCGTCTTCCTCCTGAAACTCGAAGATTCACATCAGCTAACCACAGACCCTAAACCCTAAACTCAGACCTGATCCCAAGACCTACAGCTTTCTGCCTCCGAGGCCGTGGCAATGTCGTGCATTGCTGCTATCGTAGCTCTTACCGTTCTTCCGACCCAATGAAGTGAAAGTAAAGATGCTGCGGCTGTTACTAGTAAGAGTACCTGAGTACCTGTCCACACGATCCTAAGATTCCTCGAGCATGTTCCTGCCCGATAGATAGTTCAAGCCTGTCAAGACGAGACTTGGAGTTTAAACCGGACCCTTTAAAAAAGTGAAACCCCACAAGCCCGAAACCTTAAAGCCCTATGTCAACCGAGGAGAATGGGTCTGTAAGCTTCGGAGATTCTCAGGTTTCATCACGGACTTGGGGCTTTGGAGTTTAGGTTTGGAGATGAAGGCTGAAACCCAGGAACCGCCTGCCTGAGGCCCTACATCACCGAGCCCTTTCAGCTCTGAGACCGATTCCGCAACGCCCCTGTCGCCATGCCCAACCCGTCAGTCGCAAAATATGTGCCACGGGGCCTTCATAAGTTAGAAGCAGAGTCGGGGTTGTGGTACTTTTGTATAGTACAGTTATATTCGATAAGACACTGGAGGGGGCCCCAAAAAGCACACAAGCCTTTTATAGGGATATCCCTACCTTATTGGGCTTCATGAGAAGGGGATTTAACGGGGATGTCCCTATCCTTGTTTTTGCTTATGTGCTTTTTTGGGGCCCTAAAAACAGGAGTAGTCTTACTGACTGATCGACCCAATGCCCTATAGCATACAATTCCCACCATCTCACGATCCCGCGAACCTCACCACGACTATCCGCGTAAACCCTCACCGCAAACCCACGAGGCCCTCGGACGAAATTCATCAGAATTTCGTGTCTAGGCTAGGCAGGAAGCCTCCTCCACCTGCTTCCTTGCCTTCTTCGCCTTCTTTGTGGCCTTGCAGGGTCTGTGTTGTGGGTCTGGCGTCCAGGGTCTAACTTTATGAATGTGACCTAAATCCTAAACACTATACTTTTCGGGCTGTGCACTTGTGCGCCAGCTCAGCATTTGGTGGGCTTTCATTATCGGAGGCAACGTCAATGGAAATTCAAGCCAATTTACTTAAACCTTTCATCAACAAGCACCAGCCAAGCAAAACTAATTCGATTAGGGTTTGCGTGAACACGGAGGACCCGTCGGTTGGGCTTTCGTGAGGAGGATTCGAGAGATGAAGGCTTTCGTGGGGAGGATTTCGGGCTCTTGTGGGGAAGGATCCGGGCTTTCGTGGGGAGGATTTTGGGAGGTTTTCGGGTTCTGGTGGATTGGGGCTTGCAGATTCGGGCTTTCGTGGGCAAGGTGTTCGTGGCAAGGATCTTGGCTTTTGTGGGGAAGGGTTCGGGATTTCGTGGGAAGGATTTTGGGCTTTTCGTGGTGTTCGGGCTTTCGTCGGGGGGATTTAAGCTTCGTGGAGAGTTGGGGGGGATATAAGCTTCGTGGTGAGGATTTGAGCGTTGGCGGGATTCGGGCTTGCGTTGGGAGGGATTCATCCGGCTTTCGTGGGGAGGGAGGGCTGCTGGGGCTGGGCTGGGCCTGGGTGTGGATGGGGCTGGAGCTTGGCTGGGCTGGGATCTCGCAGAATCACGGTGTCGAGCTTTGCCATCTTGAAGAATCAGCGAAAGTGGGCCGGGCTGTGGGCGGGGCAAATTCAACCAAACCCGATTGCGAGCAGAAGCATCAGAAACTTTTTTGGCTTCACACGGCCACGCTGCGCTGGCGAACCCTAAACTCTAAACCCGTCCCAGGGGTTGAACTCGGGAAGTGGAATGGGGCTCCTACTGCAGCGGCCGAAATAATTACCAATACTGTTTTTGGTGGTGTCCTTTTTTAGGGTTCCTTTTAAAGGGTCTATACGTAAGGGTTACTATAAGGGCTACAAAAAGGGTTTAGTACAGGGGCCTAGATAATTACCGATATTATTTTGGGGTTTCCTTATTATACTCAGAGTATGATGGGCCCCAGAACCCTATTCTAATTACTAAGGTCCCTAAGGTATCCTTTCCTCGCTACTATAGTGGAAGCTCGAGTCTGTTTTCAACTAGCAACAGACAGTTTCAGGCTTGAAGGGGATCTTTGGCCAGGCCTTTCGGGTTTCACGGTGCGGCCGAAAACATGAAAGAGGTTTCAGGGGTGTTGGAGTCTGAACCTCAAGCAGTTTAGGGTTTAGGGTTTAGGGTTTCGGGTTCAGCATTGACCATACACCGGCGAGGCATGGCCGGCAGGGCCTGGTATCCCTAGGGTCAGGGTGCTGAATTCCAGTAAGTCGCAAGCCTCATCCTACTCAGCTGCCAGTCAGGATACTACGCCGGGAGGATGGGCTTCGAACCTTTAGTACGACTCTTCTTTTTGCAGGTAGCTGGACACGTGTGAGGCAGTGGGCCTTTTCCGGCTCCTCCTCCTCTTCCTCTGCAGGAGCAGCTTTCTTCCTCTTAGCCGGCTTCGCCTGGATCCCAAGACTTATTGGTCGGCGCTTCCGGGTTCACGATTGGCATCGAAGTGAACATGCAGCAAACTCCGTTTTGGGTTCGGGGTGTAGGAACTCTAAACTCTAAACCCCAAATCCACTGTTTAGCCTAGGCTTAAGTCCCAAACAGCCTCAAACCATCGAATCCGAGCCCGCGGCCAGTACCTTGAACCGCGTGAGGGTTTAGGGCTTTAGGGTTCCGGGTACAAGGACAAGCTACGGAAGACCCCTAAACTCGGGCCCTGAAGCCCCAGCAGAAAGTGCCAAAGCCATGAACCCTCGAATCTCTGGCTTAACCGCTGGACCCTTAGAAATCTTACAGGTTGGACCCCTGAACCCCAGATCTGACGGAAGCTTCCTGTGCCACTGAAACCCGAAACCTCCACATCATCGTCGTCCACGCCACCGCCAACGGTTTTGCCCTGAGCTGGGGTTTAGTTTTAGGGAATTTTAGGGTTTAGGGCGTACAAAGGTTCAGGTCTTTGCTATTGTTGCTGCTACTGCTTGTAGCGCGCAACGGTTGCTACGATGGCTATTCACGATGTCTGCTATTGTTATGGCTGCTCATATTGATGGCATCACGCGCCATATCCTGTCCGCAGAACCTGCATAGAGGAGCCTCTAGTCCCTCAACGCCGCTGCTTTGCAGCGCGAGGGGTTCGTTTTAATCAGAAGAAGTCAATGCAAGCTCCAGACCCCCAAACCCCTACCAGAAACCCTAAGCCCAGATGCCCTACACCCGACCCTCTTTCTTCCGAGCCCTGCACCCCTAAACCCTAGACCCCTGAACCCCCATCACCGAAGCCGAAACGTAGCTTCTCGCGCCTCAGACTCGGCTTTCTTCTTCAAACGGTCGAGCAGGGCATCCACCATCTTCTCCTGAACATCGCGGTGTGCGGCAGCCGCAAAGAACCCACAATGGTCAAACCGAAGGGCCCAAAACCTAGATACGAAAATTCGGTTTAGGGTATGCGTGAACCCTAAGCCAAGCCGCTTTGTCAAGGACCTCGCGATCCTGCTGCCCCCTTTTCAATGCTCGGCATATGATGACAATGACGAGAACAAGATTAGGAATAAGACTGCGCAAACGTATAAGAATCATCATAACCATAATCATAAACATTATCGCAAGCATAGCAGTAATTGTAAGAACAGCAGTAATAGTAAGAGACGTAATGATACTAATGATAACTACGTATCACATGAACAGTCACATCATCATTACATTAAGAATATATGTGGAAAAAACAATAAACCCTAAACCCTCACACCGAAGCCTCACCCGATACCCCCTGGCACAAACCCCAGCTTAATGCTTGAAGTCCAAACCCTCCTAAACCCTGAACCCTAGCCGTTCTCTGGTATGGGGCTGTGGGGGACAAGGGCTGCTTTGGTTAAGGATGTAGGGTTCAGGATGTAATATAGGGGGCTGAAAATAGGGCTTGCAGGTATTATAATAAAACTATAGTAAGGAACCCCAAAATAGTATTAGGCCCCTATACTAGGTTTGTGTTTCCGGGCTTTTTGTAGGCTCGTCAGGTCCATGGTGTAATGCAGGTTAAGAGAACGGTTCTAAACAAGTAGAGTGCGATGTGATGGCATTGCGGCGCTGTTACACTGCATCTACGTGGGGATGATAAAGGCACCCTAAACCCGTTCCCACACCCCACACCACAAACTCTAAACGCCAAAGCACCCCCTATACTATAGGGAATAGCAAACCCATTAGGGACCTCAGATCTTTCCTAAACCCTGAAGCCGAAACTACCTTAAACTCCAAGCCCCTGAACCCTAGATACCTTGCACCGTCAGCCATGATCTCAGAACCCCAAACCTAAACCTATAGCCCATTTCAACCTTCATGCCTCCATCCAGGCTCGTAGCTGTACGATAGTACTATAAGACTATGACTGATTATGCAGACCTCTGTGCTACAGCGGAGCTTAATGAAGCTTGAAACCGAGTCAAGTCCCCAACGCTCCGAGGCCTCTTCTTCGTGGAACTCTTCGACACTGCTGGCGGGGACTGCATACTGCCTTGCTGATTCAGGGTCAGGCAGAGATGCCCTGAACCCTGGAGCCTGAACCCCATGGATCCTCTAAACCGCAGACCCGAACCTGAAAATTGCGTCCTGCACCCGAGACTCTAAGGCAGCCAGTTACGATCAAAAGACATGGCCTGCGATTGACATTTGACATTCTTAAGCATGGATGACTGAAAACCTTGACCTGTTGACAAGCGGTGTCGGGGGAGCGCGGGAGGGATTGCAGGGGTTGGGGGCAAGGGTTGGGGGGTCTAAACCCTAAACCCTAAACCCAAAAGGGGACACGGGCTTCCTGCACAAAATAGCAGGGAGAAGGAGCCTAGAGGTGCACGTGAGGGTCGAGGACCCCGACGTTTTGTAGCTCAGAGTCTGAGCATACTGGAAAAATAGAAATCAATATCATTATAATTTCTATGGTCATTCATATTACTTCTGGATCTCATTACAATTACCCTGGTTATTGCTATTAGAATTACCCTTCATGCTAATGTTATCACACCGCGTCCCTAAACCGAACCCCAAAACCGGAAACTCCAAGCCCCTATTAAACCCATTGCCGGCACAGGCTTTGTTCTGAAGACGATGCTGTGTGGATGTCGCTCATGATGGCGATGACACAGCCGCAACGGTCGCACGGCTGATGTCCCTGGTGCTAGATTTGATATGACTAGGACAATCCTTTCCCAGAGAAGCTTACAAAGCCATAATAAAACTCCCTGCTGCATGCATCGCCCTTATCATTATTACCATCAGCATCGTACTCGCCGTCATCATCTGCTGATTCGTAGCGCGCCCCTGCACGGCACAGCGTGCTGACCTTCACGATCGGCGGCAGCAACCTACCTATCAGGCACGTGATCAGCTTGCTCTGCACTGCCAGTGCCATGTTTGCACCAGCTTGGCCATAAGCATCAACGTCGTATCGTCATGACTACGGTAAGGCTGGTACTACTACCTTAAACCCTAAACCCTAAACCCCTGAACCCTAAACCCTATACCCTAGAGCGTCATATGCCCGTCTCGGTTTAGCAACTCGGCTTGGGGCCCCCACTTCTTGCCTTTGTCGATGCGCTTCTGCCGGTCCCACTCAGCCTGTTGTCTCGGCAATGGTCGCCGAGACGGCGACCAAAAGGGAATCATCTATACTCCCTGTATCGTTCAAACTTAGGTATCACAACTTTGTTTTGCATTGATATATCCAGCTTTAAACTTCGTTTTGTTCACACTTGCCTGCGAAGAGTGCCAAAGCGAGTGGTGTAGTAGCCGTCGTCGTAGTTGTAGGAGTAGCACTGTAGCAGCAGCCGTCGTGGGACTAGTGGCAGTGGTAGCGGTATAAAGCAGGGGTAGTGGGAATGGCAGTGGCAGTTGGTATTCCTTGTGCTGGTGCTAGTTCCGGTGCTGTTGCTGGCTTTAGTGCTGGTTCTAGTGCTCGTGCTTGTGCACGTGGCAGTGATATTTCGTGGCAGCGGCCGGCAGGATTAGTGCTGAGTGATGACAATCCGTGGCCGTGGTACTCGCGGTGGTAGTTGTGGTGTTGGTCGTGGTGGTGGTGGTGGTGGTGGTGGTGGTGGTGGTGGTGGTGGTGGTGGTGGTGGTGGTAGTGGTGGTGGTGGTGGTGGTGGTGGTGGTGGTGGTGGTGGGGGTGGCGGTGGCGGTGGCGGTGGTGGCAAGTAATTGCGTGGCAGTGGCAGTGGTGGTAGGTAAGTATGCTCGTACTTCTGAAACTCTTTGCCCACTCGATCCCGATCCCTCGTTGTCCCACAGATTCCCCACTCGGGAAACTACAGAAAGAAGCTGTGTCCTTACACTTTCTGAGGGTTTTGCTATTCCGCCGCATTCGAAGTCAGACCGCAAAAGCCGGAGTCCACACACAGTGCACGTTCTTTCTTCGGCACCTGTGACTGTACCAGTGAATACACTGTATCTAAGCGGGAGTGTCCCTTCAGGACGAAGCCCAAACCGGAACCAAAAACATGGTCTGTTCGCTGCCGGCAGGGAAAAAGTCTTCTTGGAAGGCCAAAACGCAGCGTTGCTGGTCACTAGTGCATGCAAGGGTACCTGACCCCTGCACTCGCACTTTTTGGAAGCTTCTGGTAGCCACTCGGCAGTCAAAGTCAAATCGTAAAGCAACAGCTCGCATTTGCGAGCAACGACACCCTGCGGCACTCCGACGGGTCTCCCTCCAGGCCCAGCTGCAGAAAGCTCGGGATTGCCTGGTTCCGAGCAAAGTCTGCCGCAGTCCATTTCCTGGAATTCTGGAGGTCCAATCTAGCACCAGCCGCGATCAGGGCCGCGGCGGCCTCGAATTGAGCCGACCGGATGGCCTGCATCAGCGGCGTGCTGCCATTCAAGTGATAGGCCAGCATCTTCACAACAGACGCCCGGCCGAATCGGTGCTGCAAGGACTTCGTGGCCAAGAGCAGCCTGCCCAGTGTGCTGAAGTCGCGCGAGCTACTCATCTGAAAGTCGACGTCGGCGCGTAGGGCGATCAATCGCTGCACCAGCTCGGCCGAGCCACCCTTGAATGCTGTAGCATCGAAGAGTGCCCGAGAAAGTTCCAGCGAATTTGGGCGGGCCTGCACCACCAGCTCCTCTAGGGCCTCTAAGGCCGAAAGGCCAGCTGCGCACTGCAAGGCAGAGACACCAAACAGGCTCCGGGATAGTGGTCTGGTACCCGATGCACACAGAAGCCTAATACCCTCTGCGTTGTCCGCATTGGCAGCATGCAGGAGAGCCGCCGAAAATCCGCCCTCGAGAGAAGCTCTTGCCGCAAGAAGCAAGCGCGTGGCCTCGTGGTGGTGGAAGAAGACCGCCAGATCCAGCGCCGACATCCAAGGCGGAAAGCCAAGCGTCGGCTCGTCCTTCGATGTGCGCCGGTTCACATCGGCGTGCTGCTCCAGAAGGCCCCTCAGCACCTCAGCATCGAAACTCATAACTACTTGCATTTTTGTGTGGGGAGGAGGTTGGTTGGCTTCCTTCCCGAGGCTTCCCCGATGTTCCTTTGCGGCAAGCTACTGAGGAATTCGGCTTTGCAGGGTCGCTTTTCGGTGCAAGTGTGAGGTCTGTCTCGCGGCAAGATATGACTGAATTCCAATCGGAAAGGGCCGTGTTTTCCGGCAAGCTCTTGGAGAGAAGGGGCACTGCCATATGTGGCAACTGTTGGAAAATCCCGATTTGAAGGGTCCTGTTTTAGACCAAGTTATGGGTAAGTCCCAAATTGTTGCATTCTGTTTTGTGGGCTTGCCTCGTTTGGCTGGCTGGAGTTTATGCATTGTGTAGCATGTAAAGTCTATATATGCAAATATGTGCACACACATATATATATATATATGTATACACAGACATCGCTGTCGTCTCTTTGGACGTTAAATTTTCGGTTACAGGTTTGCGGAATAAACCTAGCAAAACCAAGACAGGACTAGCCAATCCAAGCTAAGCCATGTCATGTAAAATGCCTTCTCAATACAAAAACCTATCCAGAAGGAAAACTTATGACTTATAGCAGCCAGAGCATATGAATTAGAAAACACATGCCCATGCTCAACGAGCACCTGTATGTTGCCGGCCAATGTTGCATAGTGTAGGGGAGACCATCCTGCGCTGTCGGACTCACCGACTCTCCTCAAGCCGTTTTGGTGCAGGAACTCCGCCACAGCATCCTCGGCTCTTGCTAGGGAAGGGAGGGTTTAGGGATTTAGGGGCTTAGGGATTAGGGTTTAGGGATTAGGGTTTAGGGTTTAGGGGTTTAGGGTTTAGAGATTAGGGATTAAGATACCACAACATGGAAACTTTGTCATTTGCACTATAGCAAGAGCCCAGCATCATCACTGCCCTCGCAGCTGGGCAGGAGGAGGGTCAGTGGCTCAACCTGAAGCCCTCTTAGGTAAACTGTCTGGAGATTGAAGTGCCTTCGGAATCCCGGAAGGTCTTCCGCTCGCAGGCAGTGGTTCAGCTTCTGCATGAGGATGTTCCGCAAAACCGGGGCCAGCTTGGAGCGATCTTCGGCTTTACCAAAATCGCCTTCCCCAACGGGGCCCCTGGGAAAGGACAGTACTGTGCCGAGAGCTTCAACGGAGGTTTCGCTTCGAATGAGAACCCAAGTGCTGTTTGGTGACAGTTCACGTGCCGCACGTTCTAGGCGACACCACCCCCTGCTGCTCCAGGTCGCTGGCGACAGCACTCTTCTCTCGACGGGGCAGTCGAGAACCGGGCAAAGTGCCATGAAAACTTCGCACCTGGCCACATATGCTGGGATGCTGTTAATGGCCTTGGCTTGGTGGAGGTTGTCTGTTTCATCGGAAACCCGCGTCGGATGCCGTAGCTGCGGGCATGAGAAATAATCGTACCAGAAGAACAGCTCCTGCGTCTGAAAGTCTTTCATGGGAAGCGGCTTGGCCGTTTGCACCACGGCTTCTGTAACCTGGGTTCTTGTCAAGGGATGTAGATTAAGGTGCCATAATAAGGAAACCATATTATTTACTACAAATCCCTATTATGGTAACTTAAACCTGAAGCCCTGCATACCCTTAAAGGAACCCTTATAGATCCCTATTAAGGTAACTTAAACCTTCAGCCCTATACCCTTAAAGGAATCTTTTTCGATCCTTATTATAGTAACTGAGTAACGGGATCCAAGGAAACGGACCCAGAGCTGCTCAGGATCCGCCTTACGGCATGCTGCAGAGTTCGCATCTGCTTAAAGTCAGGATCTGGATGCCGTTGTGTAATCCTGGGTTCTTGCTAGAGAACTTAAGTTATATACCATAACAAGGAACCATATTACTTACTTAAGATGCTTGTCATGGTAACTTAAATTAATTCCTTAACAAGAGCCCGGAATCCACTGGTGCGAAACGAAAGCCGCCTTCCCCAAGCCGACGTTGAAGTCTACGAGCTTGCCCCACGCCTTCAATCGGCAATGTAGGCACTTAACAATTAGAATAGGATTTTGGGGTTCCTTACTTTAACTCTAGTATAACATACCCCCAAACCCTATTCTAATTATGAGTATTAAGAACCCGACATTAGAGCCCTTGAGCGCGAAGAGTTCGAACGGAGACTTCAAACCCTCTGACAGAAGCGGCCACCACGACACATTGGGGTTTAGAGCTTAGGTTGCTGCTCGTCGGCGGGCTTCGCATCAGATTGCATTCACTCACACGATCACATTGCAAAAATCCCACACCTGCAGAGCTAAAGCCACGGCCAAGCCACTTATGCCCACACGGTCCCCGATGTCGCCCTAATATAGGAAATCTAATATGTGACAATATATAATATATACTATATACTATTTATCATTTAATATACAGTATAGTATGTAATACGTTAATAAAAATAAAAACAATAGACTACCTCTGTTAATATATTTGTATAACCCACAAGAGATGATATATATATATATATATATAACATATAATATAAGTCGGAGTTTAGCTTCGGCACCGGCCTTCAACTTTTCGTGCGGCTCAACCTTCGTCATCTTTAGGAGCACGTCCGCGGCGACGGTGTACATGGGGAAGAGCATGGGGGCATCCTGAGCCATGGGATGTTTAGGGTTTGGGGTTCAGGGTCTGGCGGTTTAGGGGTTTAGGGGTTTAATGGTTTAGGGTTTAGGGTAGGTGGCAGTCCATCCTTCATGTCGCACAACTCGCTGGTAACTGCAGCGATAAGGGCGACAACAATGACAGCCAAGATGACCAAGACACTATAACTGCACCAAAGACAACGACGAGCATGAATGTAATAGGGCTCAGTGATGTCGTCCGAAAAATGGCAGTGCAATAGTAACGACAGAAGTGCCAGAGCCGATGGCAGTAAAAGTCAGCAGCAGTAGTGGCGGCCGGAGCAGCGGGAACAGCTCCAGCAGCAGTAGGCGCAGGAGTAGAAGTAGGAGTAATAGTAGGGCAGGTTAAGGAGCAGCAGTGGAGTAGCAATGACGGTAACAGTAAGAGGAACAAAAGGGTAGTGGGGATAATGACTGAGGTAGCAGTGGCAGTGGCAATGGCAGTAGTAGTAATAATAATCATAATCATAATAGCAGCAGCAGGAGGAGCCGCTGCCGCAGCCGCAGTCTGTTTCCGTTGCCGTTGCTGTTGCGGCTGCTCTCGGAGCCAACCCAAAGAACCCAATACCCCTTAATTAAGCATTATACCTCAAACTATAGGGGGGCTTAGTATTATGGTTGAAGGTATATTCCTTGATTAAGGGGTATTGGGTTCTCTGGGAAGGTCCTGGAGCCTGTGGGGAGGGGGAGTTCCCACCTCAGGGACGACTTACATCAACGATGCCCAGGCGCGTCCACTTTTTCTGGTAGCGATCTGGCATAGCTCTCCAAAGGCGTCCGAGACTTCCCGGAGACGCAGCAAGCCATGGCAAACAAAATCCGAACCTGGAAACCCCCAAAATGGGACCGTGGGCTGCCCCAAAACCCCTTCGGGGTTGGCGCTTCCAGCCCGCCTGGCTCGGCTCTCATCGAAACAGTTTGGGCCCGAGATCGAACAGGATGTTACTTTGGGGTTTCAGGTCCGTCTAGCGTCGCTGTTTAGGGTTTAGGCTTCAGCTTGCCACATGCCGGGGCCAAAGAATGCCACTCTGAGCTTGTTGCAGCAGCTGCTGCTGCTGGCGCTCCTGCTGTTGATATTACAGAATGATGCTGAAAGTGATACTGATGATGCTGTTGCCAGTAATGCTAGTGCTGAGATTTAAGTTGGGTTTGATGTTGATGGCGGTGTCGGTGTCAGTGTCGGTGATATCGGTTGTGTGTGTGTGTGTGTGTGCTTTCGTTGCTGCTACAGTACTGCTGGTAGTGCTGGTGCTCCTGCTGTTGTTGTAGTAATAAGTTTTGTTGCTGTTGCTATTGCTGTTGCTTTTGCTGTTGCTGTTGCTGCTGCTGTTGCCTTTGCTGGTGCTGATGTTGCGCCTGCTGGTGCTGGTGCTGGTGCTGCTAAAGTTGTGGTCGTCCTCGTCCAGCTATCTGAAACGCTGTACCACCCAAACTTTGCCACGACATGTCACGACCCTATATAACTCCCAAACCGCTAAGAAAAGAAGTTGTATTAAGTTCGCCACATCGGACTCACTGAAAGAGCTGATGGGCATCGAGGTCTTCGGGCATCAGAGTCTTTATTCGGCTAATGTGCATAGCTTCCTCGGGCGCTGCCGTCGACAATGCAGCTCCTAAAAACTCTACAAAGATATCTGAGACCAGACCATAAAACCGGGAGAGCCCTAAAGCATCCCCAAAACAGCGACCGTGCGATCAACTAGCCCGAAGAAAGCCTGGAAAGCTTGGTCCTGACAGGTCGTATCGTAAAACCTCTCTGCTAACGAGAAGAGTCACCCTATTCAAAATGATTGTTATCCTTGCTGATGCTTTGTATTAGCAATATTTTAGTCTTTTCTCTACTATTTTTCCTATTTTTACTATGGCTACTATCATTTGCATCATTAACTGATTACTACTCTTCGCATTCTTACCACGCGTATGAAGCGAGCCCAGGACTGAGCAGGCCTCCTTCTTCATGAAATACTTGTCCTGACGCCGTCACAACCCCGAACCTACGGTTCGGGTGCATAGATTTTAAGAGACCACGGTATAGGGTTTGGGGTTCAGGGATGTTTAGGGTTTACACAGGGTTTAGGGTTTAGGCCCGTTTAGGCGTTGCATAAGGCTTCATCAGGATGTCAGACTTTAACATTTTGGTTCCGAAGTTGTCGGAGGATGCCTTATTGTACAAGTTCGGGCCGGAGCGGTTGAATAACCTTTCACCTGAACATAACCTTGAAGCCAGAACCCTGATGTCTACAGTGACCCCTTCCCAGGTATGGACCCGATAAGGGGCAGACCTACCCCTGTGCCCCAAGACTAAGCCGGATCCATACGTTAAACCCTCAAAATGTCCCGAAAGGCATAGCTGAATGCAGCAAGTTCTTCTAGCAGCGACATTGCTTGCAGGCGCTACCTGGAGGTTTCACAATTATCTGCGGGACCATCTTTGCAGGAATCCGAATGCTGACCTTTTTACCAAACACCCCAAAGCCCTAAACCCTTAACCCCCTGAACTTCGAGGCAGTGTCTGGAGGAGACCTTTGAACGATCGAAAGCAGCTGTGGATAACTGCCAGCACCAGATGCAAGCCAACCAGTATCCCGACTGTCTGAGTAGCCAAAACCCAACAATACTGTGAAGCTACGAGAGCCGCAGTAGAAGGCTACTGTACCCTAACGGGTTTGGGGTGTAGTATGGTGTAGTAAAGTACCGTATAGTAGCAGTATAGCAAAGTAGTTGATATCATAGCATAGTATAGTATGAAATTTCAGAACATTTTACAGCAAAGTGTATGCAATAAGATAATGTAGCCTAGTATAACAAACTAAAACTTATCGCATAGTAGAGCAGAGTAGAGTAAAGTAGAGCACAGTATAGTCTAAAATAACTAGGCGAAGGCCTTCTTGGCGTCATACTTAAAGCCGCCACGTAGCATGAGCTCATGAGTCTGAGGCGGCACCTGTGGCACAGGACGGTCCCTAAACCCTAAACTTTAGGGCTTCAAGGCTTTTGGGTTTTCGGGTTTCAGAATTTTAGATATAGGGGAAGGAGCATGAGGTGCAGGTATGTTGAGGATTGAGGCCTAGGTGAAGGGAGGGAGATGATGAATTGGTCGAAAGGCTTGATTACTTAAGACTGAATATTGGAGGCGCGGGGCATCAACGAGTTTCTTAGCTCCCTATCGTCTAGAAGCCATACCTATCCATGCAAGCACACCACGACCACTTTTGGCAGCAATATCCAAATCTTCGAGCTTTCCCAAGTTGTGAAGGCATCCGCGCATGGGCGGCCAGCAGAGCCGCCCCTCCGCGTCCACTCTGGGGCGGGAGGGCGGGTAAAACTATGGTTTGCAGCACCCGGCTGCAAGCGAGCTCTTCACTTCAACTGGCATGACACATCTAGACGCTAGGGATTGCCTGACGCAGGCAGACTGCGACAGATTCCATCCCTATCGTCTAGAAGCCATACCTATCCATGCAAGCACACCACGAGCACTTTTGGCAGCAATATCCAAATCTTCGAGCTTTCCCAAGTTGTGAATGCATCCAATGCGAAGCCGCTGCCAAAAGTGCGAGGCCGCAATCCAGATAGTGTAACTGCCAGACATCGCGCGGCCCGCAACCTGGAAGAAGCAAAAACAAAACACAATCGGTTAACGCAGCTGACCAGCATTCAGAAGCCGGCGCCAGTCGGCTGTCCGACTTCGGCGGGGGTCCAAGGACTCCCAAAACGCTGGCGACTCGCTTCCTGCCCGCCCTCTGCTCAACAGATTTGCCCACGTGTTCCGCTGACCTGCTACATGGGAGACCTGCAAGACAATCTGGCGCTGCATGCAAAGGGTGGCCATAGACTGCAAGACGTCAGCCAATGGTCGCCGCATAGACGAAGCCTTGCTCACGGCGCCGCAGACCCCGGAGTTATCGCAACTTTGCCTGAGCACCACCTGCCCTAAACATGCAGACGTCGGGCAGACTCGACTATCTGCAACAAGCAGCTCGGTGAGCACAAGCTGGGCCAAGGCTTCTAGAGCGCAAATGTACTTCTGCAGATCGTTACGACCATGCTCCTGCACAAACCAACCAGTCCGGCAACTCTGCGGCCTGAATAGCAATGGAAAGCCAGCAGATAGACGCTGGGCAGATCCCATCGCTCGGTAGCATCCACCAGCCCCAAATGCCAGCACTCGGGCCTTGCGCATAAGCATCAGCTGCCGCCAAGACATGCGGGCCCCTTCTTTGCACCAGCTGCACTTCCACATTTTTCGCAACCAAGTCATGATAGAAGTCAGCGACCTGCGCTTCTTCCTTGGAGACCCTTACCTCTTTGGAGCTGCCATCACCAAATTTGACCCATGCGCAACCCTGCTGCAACTTCGCTCGTAGCACATCTCGCGGGCCCTTGAAATCTTAAGGCACATGCCCAACTTCCAAAACACGCCAACCTTGCAGGACGTCCGACAGAAACGGGCAGGCTTGAATCTCACCCTACGACTTGAGAAACTTCTGTGAGCTGCGCACTGTCCAAGGCTCGTAGCACCACTGACGGCTTGTGTAAGATATGAAACAATTGATGCAACCAGGGCCGAAGCCAGCGCACTCCAGAAGCAAACCAAGACAAGAGGCCAATCAGCTGTTCCAGATGCTTCCGCGACATCCTGGACCCTGCGACCCGCAATGGTTGCAGCCGCCCAAGAGGCGGGCGTCTGGCAGATGCACCTTCGGAGTCTCGCTGAGATGCACTAGCCAGCCCAGCCATTTCACACAGCTGCCCAGAATCAGCTTCTTCCAGCTGATAGGGATGCCTAGAGCAGTAGCTAAGAACACGACCAAGGTTGCGCCGGCTGTGGCTTCACTTCTTCGGAAGAGGGCCAAAATGTCATCCACATATATCGCCAGAAAGTGTCGTCGGTGAATCAACCGGTGCACGACCCGGACAAAGGCTCCCGCTGTCCTGGCCCACCAATACGCCGCCCATGAGCATCCAAAATGGCATGTGCGATAGCAAATCCAGTGGGTAGCACCGTCCGCATCAGCTACTGCAAACAGCGAGTACCCTCTCTCTGCAGCAGCCATTTTGACGCGTTTATGGGCTTTGGCGACATCCAGGATGAACGGTACCCACTCCCCGTCATGACGCGACAAGAAACTGGACACATCTTGCAAAGAGGGCAACTCAATCTTCACGGCAATTCTACACAGTCGGCTAGCATTAGAAACTGTGCTGTCCCCGACGAGTTGCACAACACCCAAGCGACCTGCACCGCACAAGCATCACCGAACCGGGCCCGAGCTTCCTCTAGCCCACCCGGCAACCACTCTGCGAAGCCTATCTGCACATCTTCTTGCACCAGCCGCATGAGCAACGAAGGGTCTCTCTTCCCAGAGCCCCATGGCTCCTCATGGATCAAGAGCTCCAAGGGAGGCCGGTCCGGGGTGTCGACCGGATGCCAGACCCCTGACGTAGGGATAGTGCGCTCAATGCCTGTGGGCACCCCTTTGCTCAAGACTGCAGGAAGAGCCACATCGACATCTTGGACCACTTGTAGCAAGCCCTCAAGTAATTGCAACGCCAGTTGTTGCCCGTGCGCAATTTCCAAGCCACACGAAACACCCTCACTACTCAGAAAAGACTACAAATCTTTGCGCAAGTCTGCAATCTGGCCATCACTCAGCAAGGCAGCTTCACTTCGGCTCCTAACGTGGCACAGCATTCTGTGTTCCACATTCCATTCTCGCATGCGGCACAAACATCGTTGGCGCAACTGCGCAAAGATGTCCTCGCCATCTGGCGGTCCCCAGTCAGCACTTGAGCAAACGCCGCCTCCATCACGCAAACGAACGCCATCGGCCAAAATGCCAGCCTGCATCTGCAAACTTTCTTGCTGCACCCTGCCGAGACTGCCTGAGCCTAGTCACTGCCGCCGATCTTTGGCACACGACCGAGAATCATGATCTGAGCTGCCGCAACGAGCACAAGCATGCTTATACCGACACGCAGGATCTTTGCACTTGAAGCCATCCATCCAGGTGTGACATTCCCCTGTGCGGGGCTTCTTTGTCTGCGCTGTGTGCTCCCCAGCGCCGCGCTTGTTGTCTCGCCCCGGTGGCAGCGGAGGCGGGGCATGGAGAACCTTCTTTGGAACAACGGGCTGCTTCGAGATTTTGGGCTGCAGGGGCAACAAATGTCGCAGCAGGCTCTACCACCACATGGTTGAGTGCGTCGTCCATCGATGCGCCATCAAAGCAGAGGTTGAAGACCTCTGCTAGAGCTGCCCGATCCGCCTCCTCGGCCTCGGCACCGGTGGGTGGACGCATGGAGTCCGTTGGTCGACGGGTATAATAGCTCATGAGTTTCATCGTGTACGTGGACCAAGAACCCAAATGGCATGCACTGCACATCGCGTAGGCATTACCTCGAGTTTCTAAGATTGATTGCACGCGATACGCAGAACCAACCACTTCCGCTTCACGTTCTTCGCGCAGCACGCCCATGGAATCTGCTACCACGTGCAAGAGCTCATCGTTGGGCAACCCGGCACGCTTCGCACGGATTTCTTGGCTGGCGTCTTCACTGATGATACGCCTCCATGGCACCCACTCCCAATGTTTCCCCATGCATTGAGCTGACACCACTTGCAAGTAGGACATGGCCGGTAAGGTCGACGGCGAAAACACATGCGCTTAACACTATGGTTTGCAGCACCCGGCTGCAAGCGAGTTATTCACTTCAACTGGCATGACACATCTAGACTTTAGGGATTGCCTGACGCAGGCAGACTGCGACAGATTCCGCTTTGCAATGCATGCAATGCATGCATTGCCCTTAAGCTTTGCCATGCATGCATTGCATGCATCAGGCATGCATAATTTCAGAACAGCAGTTGTCCGTGTAATTGCCAAGTCTCATTTGAGTCGAGCTTTTCTGAGCCATAGTTCGCTTTACGGTTCCAAAAAGCAAGATCGCCACAGGGCTCACCATTGAGTGATCTACAAGGAACAGTGCTTCAGGATTCCTCTGCGACACATAATATCTGGATACAAAAGTTTCGGCGGGAAGTAGGACGGCGTCGCCTAGACCTGAACCCAATTTCAGGTCAAGAATTTCCCAACTCAAGACCACACTAATCATACCACCTCCAATAATGCAGAGCGTGCTGGGCGGCAGTCTAGCATCAATACCAGATGCTGTTTCTCGGGCAACAATAACAAAACAAGCATGCCGACAAACCTAAACCTGAGACCCATGCAAAGCCACAAATCCTGTGACACAAAGTCTCGTAGCTGCAGGCATGCCCGTTGTCATACTGGCCTTGCCCATGGCTCCCAAGCGCAAGCACCCGGAGTGCAACGAGCGAGGTTGCGAGGGATGGGTCAGATACATGCGTTAGCTGCTACGGGGATAAGAGAGGCTGAGCCCGATCTAACCCAACCGACACCATATGAAAAGGGTGATCAAGGCTTGGAAAACAAGGCTTTGTGAATCCAATCCCTAAACTCTAAACTAGCTGGTTGCTACGGCTCTCAAAGCCGCAATGCAGGCTGCGGGACAGACACGGGCACTCCAAATACCCCCGTCCAAGTTAAAGTGCTCCCGACCTTGCATGGTGCCTGATAGCAAAATCAGCACAAGTGATGTTTGTGTTCCTACTGAACATACATACATACATACATACATACATACATACATACATACCATACATACATGTGTATATATATATATATATATATATATATATATATATATATATATATTAGGTATACATACATACATACATACATATATATATATATATATATATACAGACAGGTGCTACTACTGCAGCTCACGGAGAAGAAACACCTCCGGAAGGCTCCAAGCATTCGTCTTTTGTGCGGATCAGTTCTGCGACCAGCTGTCTGGCCAGAAGCCTTGGCAGAACGGACTGGCTCGCTGTAGGACCCAGGGCACAGGGGGCATAGGCCTCAACCTTGCATCAAAACCATAGACTAATATCCTGAACCCTTAAGGCAAAAAACACTGATGTCCACGTCGCCATCTGACAGTCATGAAACTCACGCCACAGCCCTGAGATGCTTTGCCGAGGCTTGTTTACCATTGGGGGTCAACATAGGGCCTTTTTCACGAAGAATAGGGCTTCAAGCCATGTTTTGCACTGTTTACGATAAGGAGCCCTAGAACACTCTCACTAAATATTCGGACTCCTATATTATACAGGCGCGTAGCAGCCTCTGAAAAGTCTACAGCTCTGACACCCCATCATCTCCCTCTGCCACCGAGGCTCGTCTTGCTCCTGTCCACTAGCCATTGGTCCGAACTGCCACAGGGCCAGCTGGGGGGTTGGCTTGCCATCGTGAAGAAACGGTTCGGGTTCTCTTCTTCATACTACCACCGCGAGATTGGCTGCTGTTAGTCTTGTTGCTGCCGTGAGGGTCACCCTCAGAGTTCCGTAGCCGCCGCCACCAGGAGTGGTGTTGATACGCAGGCGGCGTGGGCGTTCACGTGTGAGCGTTTAGTTTGTGTGATTGGGCTGTCGGGTTTCCACCTCACATGCTGCGAGCTTTCTACCCTAACCCTAAACCTTAAACCGGGGCTTCCGATGTCTGGACTCCCACTTGTCCGTTTGGGCAAGTGCGTTAAAGTGCATTCCCCTCGTTAGCTCCGTTTGCACCAGAATGGACCATTCCCTTGGGAACTCCCTGAAACAGTGCTCCTCACGTTTTGGGCAACCTCCTAAGACAAAGGGGCATCCCCATCTCCCTGTCTCTCTCCCTCTCTCTCTCTCTCTCTCTCTCTCTCTCTCTTTTTCTCTCTCTTGACAACTGGAGCTGGGGCTTCGGGCTTATACTATACGGCTTAGGGTTTATACGGTTTAGGGTGTCAAGAGTTTCGGGGTTTCGAGTTGATTTCTCTTTGATTTGGCGCTCCGGCCTCCGGCGCCGGGTGTCAAGGCAAATGGAGAAGTCACTGCAGGAGATCCAGCTACGGGAACCTCTGGAAAACAAGATTAACCGCGGTGCAGGAAGTTTACAAAGGGGTGTTTCCAGGCGTTTCTGGAAATAGTGTCGTTGAGCTCTAAGCCCTGAAACCTGCAAACAAGTACGTCCTATAAGGGCTATGCCCTAAAGAATCGTTCCTGCTTGTGGCATGAGGGCAAGGCTGCTGACATTGGGACTCAGCGGGCTATTTCAGATTGTATGATATCAGGGTTTGGGAAGTTGGCGTTTGGGAATTAGGATGTGTGGATTCGGACCGCAGACGCCATGTCTCAGGCGTCGTAGAATCTTCGAAAAGTCGGCACTGAGAAGCCCATACCCCAAACCCTGCACCTCAACCAATCGTAAAGCCCGAGACTCTACGAATCGGAACCCGCCCTGGATCGCCAAGGTGGCCAGACGCGAAATTCCAGACTTTTGGATTAACCCGAGACCTGTAATCCACAGTCCAGTTTTGGGCCTAGACTTTTGACAATCATCCCTCTTTGAGTGCGACAGTCTCAATCGAGAAGCCCTGAACCCCCGTCTGAAAGACAGGCAGCCGTCCAGTCTTCCTCCGAGTCCAAACCATCCTCCGTTTTTGTTTTTTTTGGGGGGGGGTCATGTTCTGTAAGGGTTCCTTTAAAGACTCCTTTCAGGAGTCCTTTCAGGAGTCCTTTAAGGAGTCCTTCAAGGACTCCTTTAAGGATTCCTTTGCAGGATACTTGAAGGGGCTTGGGGCTCAGCATTACAGGGTTCAGAGTTCCCAGTTCTGAAACGTTTCGAGGCTCATGATGCAGGTAGGGAGGCAGGTAGGTAGGCATGTGCAAGTATGTGACAGTATGTGTATACGTACATTATGCACGTACGAATGCCTTATTACACGCAAGCATGCATGCATGCCTGTATATGTCCGTGTAGCTGCGTATCTACATATGGACCTAGCATCTACGCATCTGTGCACCTTTACATCGACGTGCCTATGTACTATTTATGTAGTAACCTATGAATGCATCTATCTGAATCTCTCTATCTACGTGTCTATCCGTCTATCTACCTGCCGCAGACATCACTGCGCTCTCTTGCGATTTGTAATCGCCGGAACCGTTATTGCTACCACTGTCATCAGTTGCTTTTACTGCTGTGAGGATAAGCATGTGAGATATCAGTATAACTGCACATACTGCCAGTACCCAGGCAACTTCACTACACCTATCTTTGCCACTTCACCAGCAGTCTTTGGAAAAGGTCATGTATTACCAACGAGTACGATATCGACCACTAACCCGGAACCCTCAACAACATGTTGATGAGAATCACCACGAGCTCTGGATGGCTTACGTCGGAGGCCCTCCTCAGCAAAGTCTTGGATGTCAACTTTCATCAAGCCGACCTTCGCGGAAGTACCAGAAGGTTGCGGGTTAATATAGGGGCCTTAATAAGTAGAATAGGGTTTTGGGGCCCAATATACTATAACTATAACAAGAAACCCCCAAAAATAGTATTGGTAATTATAAAGGCCGCTACAGTAGGATTGAGGGAACGGGACCTTGAAGTCAGGATTCAGGGTTCCTGTTGCCACAACTTAGGACAATGTGAAGACATCCCTTCCGCTCCGTCTTCAGCGCTCCTCCGTGCGGAAGGCCTTTCGCACACTGCTAGATCCTGGTCCTTATTGTTAGTGTCCATATGAGTGTTTAAGGGGCTCGAGTTTCTGGCATTCAAGGCAGCTGAAGGCTGAAGGGTTGGTCGAAGATCGCAAGATGGACCTTGAGCTTCAGCGCAAACTTCAGAGACCCGCAAAACCCAACCCAACCCCTAAACCCTAAACCCTAAACCCTGTTTGGCCGGTACGAGACGATCAATTCGAAACCCTTTCGGCACCACAAAAATGCTTGCCTGGACAAAGACGAAAGACACGCAGAGGTTCACGGCAATACCCAAAATCCCTAAATCCCAAGCCGAACCCAGCCAATAGATGGACGTGCACCTGCACCTGGAGAAGCTGGCCGGCGCAGAAAAAACAGACAACATGCAACCACAAAGGTTTGGGGTTAAGGGCCTCGGTTTGCTTCCGAAGTTGCCAAAGTTTAAACAAATATGAAAGTGCGCAGAACTGCATCAATCACGGACTAGCTATGTCCAGAGCTTCGAACCGAAGTCGTGCAGTAGGAAAAATTGGCACTTCTCCCAATCGCCGCAATGACCAGAGCAAGACACGAATAGGGGACGTACCCTAAACACTAGGATCCTCATTGTAACGATCCCAAAATAAGGTACCCCCTAATGCTCGGAAACTCTAAACCCTCAGATAGAGCCCTTTAAGGGAACCCTTTTTGGTACCCCCTAATAATCGGAAACTCCCACATGTGTTCGCGGGCTTGGAGCCTTGCAAGGACCTCGTGCCGTTAGCAAAGACTGGGGGATCAGGATTTCGGCTTGTCCCCAGTCCCGCATCCTAAACCCTAAACCCTAGCCTGAGCCCAAGCCCCAAACCCTTCAAGCCTCAGCCCCAACTGCAGACCCGAAACCTCAAACCAGAACCCTGGACAAAAATCCTAAAACCCTAAGCCCTAATGCCTCGTCTCCACGCAGCTGACCATCCACACCCCTGAACCCTAAAAGTAGCAACCCTCAACGTATCAACACTGAACATTAGACGTAAATTCCCTAAACTCTTAACCTGGAAACCGCGAATTAACCCGGCAAGCCCATGCCCTGACCCTAGACCCTGAACCTAGAAACGCCTTAAAATGAGCCCTGAGTCCAACACCTACCAACGCCCTAAATCCTAAGCGCACAAACCCGAACCCCGTCAAACTTACCTTTAGTTAGTATGGAATGCAGGAATGGGGTACAATTATAACTACTATTACTACCATTCTTCCATTCCCTACTCACCAAAAGCAGGCAAAAGCTACGGCAAGCGGGCCTTCTGGAGGTAAGTCCACCAAGGAAAGCAGAGCGGCCAGGCTACCGTAGAGGGCTTGGGTCCGGAGTACTGCCTCGAGGGTGCTTGCAAATCTGAGCGTCTTAACCTTTAGGGGTTGGGGCTTAGGGTTTAGGGTTTAGGGTTTAGGGTTTGGGGTTTAGGGTTTAGGGTTGGATATCGGACCTGGGGATGATGGGTGAAGGGTTCTGGGTTATAGGTTAAAGGCTGAGGAAGAACTGCATCCCGACCCTGCATCACCCTAACTGCGATCTCAACCCTGAATAGGGTTTAGGGTTTCGGGTTCAGGGTTTAGGGTTTAGGTTGAAATCTTCGGATAAGACGTTCAACGACCAGCAAAGTGCCTTATGAGGCTTGGGAATCTCAGAGTTTGGGGTTTCTTGTCCTAGTTGAAGGCGCGTCGATAGACTTTTTTGTAGGTGAATATAGGTACTCAGTGACGTTGTGTTGGGCTTCCACGAGTCTCCCCTTTGTAACTTCGGAGTTTAGGCGTTGGGCCACAGCCACAATCCCCAAAATCACAACAGCAAGACGCAAGACACCGCAAAGGAACCTGATTGAAGATGCCTGTTCTGAATCCGCCAAAACGGAGAATGTGGACCAAGAATCCTGACGTGTCTTGATCAGGTTCCTGCATGAACAACCAGACACCCCTAATGTGCGCACCCGAAACCTCAAACCCTCGTAAACCGTAAACCCAAACCTCAGGGACCGTAAACCCTAAACCTGAAACCATCATAAACCGTAAATCCTAAACCCTAAATCTAAAACTCTGATAAACCGTAAATCCTAAACCTTAAACCTGAAACCCCCCGATAAACCCTGAATTGCCGAGACATCTTTGGGTCAGCTGAGGGACAAGTTGATGTTCTGCTCGCCTCTCAGGAAGCTCAAAGGGTGGGCTTATGGTTTAGGGTTTAGGGTTCCGAAATTGGGGCGACCCTACTGGGGTCCTTTTTAAAAGGGAACCCCATGATTAGGGTTTAGGGTTTGGTTTAGAGTTTACGGGCTGTCCCGGAACCCTACGAAACCTACCTGTTCAGGGGCTCCTGATCATGATTTTCTTATGCTTATGTCTATGGCTCCTGATTATGCTTTCTTACGCTTAGGGCTTCTGATTATGATTTCTTATGCGTAGGCTTCTCTATATGTTCTCATGTTTGCGGGCTCTGACTACGACCTTCTTATGACTAGGGCTCCTGACTATGGGTTCTTATGTCTAGGGCTTCTGACTACGATCTTCCTGCGTTTAGGGTTTCTGATTCTAACCTTTCTTATGTAAGTTCGGAAGAAGGTCTAGGTTGTTGCATGTCAGCTTCAGGACTTTTTATGCTGCTCATGCATCAGAACTCTTACTCGGCCCGCCTCATATGGGGGTTTCCGAAAATTAGGGGTACCGTATTTTGGGGTCCTTATAATAAGGATCCTACTATGTAGGGTCCCATATTAGGGTCCCCTATTTTCGGAAACTCCCATATAGTTTCGCCAGGTGCGTTTTGTTTTATGGCTTGATTCCGGGGCGGCGGGGTGATGGGGGGCAAGGTTGGCAGAACCCTAAACCCTAAACCCTAAACCCTAAACCCTAAACCCTAAACCGTGGTAGAGGACCTTGGGCCCGAGCGGATCGAGTCCGACTCTGAACTCAATGAGCAAAAAAATGGCTCCTTTTTAGCAAAAAGTTCCTTGCTCCTTTTTGATTAAAAACTTAAAAGCCTTCTCTTTGAATAACCATGCCCCGGAAAGCTTCAGACTTTCCTATGTCGGTCAGCTACTGAAATCCGACCGTTTGAAGCCCTTCTTCCATTGACGAGCCAAGCTTTTCGCCAGTACCCTGGGCACACCATACCCAGCAGAGGGCCTGTCAGTCGCGCAGCGAAGCGCTTGCAGCGCTGGAAGACGTCCAGAATGCTAAACTCCTTCCGATCGGGGCTTCGTTCAGGGGCTTTAATAATTAGAATTTGGTTTGGGGGCCCACTATACTACAAATATCTAAAGGAACCCCCAAAATCGTACAGGTAATTGTTCAGGTCCCTATAGTACAGGCCCTGGTTCGAGGGCGAAGACTTCAGAGGATTCGGGGCGAATTAGCGTTCAGGATTTACGGGTGTCACAACACCTAGAGGCTCCATAGTAGTTCGTTTTTGTAGTTCATATTTTTAGAATCCTACAAGGTAATCCCCAAAAGGAACTACTATGGAGCCTATGGGTAGACATACTGGCCGAGCCTGGTTTCCATACTCCACGCTCAGGGTGCGGACGGCCCGTCGAAGCGCAGTGCTCAGAACACCTCCCTCACCTTTGCTTGCGGGATCTTCAACATTAACCGGGTAGTAGCACTGTCTCAAAACCAACGTGCACTTACAATTCTAGCTGTTCCAGCTGTAGACTCCAAACTACGTGCCGTCATCCTCGCCTGTGGCCTCCGGTCTCAGCACTGAGGCGATCAGGGCTCGTAGGTTAGGAATCTGCAGGATCAAAGTAGCTACTTTGCATTGTACCCGCATGCAGATAGCATACAGCCCTCACTGTGCGACATGAAAGCTTGGCTGATGCCGAAGACACAAGCTGACCGTTAAACCAGGGATTCTAAGCGGCAGCTGGAAAGCATCCAACTCGCGTGCATAGCAGCGAAAGGGTTTGATTTTGGTGACCATAAAACACATTCGAGGGGAGCAATCGCCCAGCTCATGCAAACACTGTTACGCATGGCACGGGTGCTTTCATCTTCAACAACCCCGAAAAGGGAGCCAAACACTTCTCGCAATGACTATGAAAACACAAACAATCACTCCAATGCCGAATATTGAAAGCATCGATACTTCGAATCAGCTACAGCGCCAGCACTACTTAAGAAACATTGGATTAAGAAAATGGGACTCTGGATATTGTGATTGATAGGGTTCTACATAAAATACCAAGCACTGTTAAAACAAGAAAACCAGGGTACCCTCGTCGGCGAGTCTCATTCTCTTATTTCGTTCCGTCATACTCGTGGTCTTTAGCTGGGTTCTGGAACGAAGGAAAATATGAAAATTTCCGAGTCTCGTTTTCTTATTTAGGTGGGTTCTGGAACGAAGGAGAATAAGAAAAAGCCAGAGTCTCGTTTTCTTATTTAGGTGGGTTCTGGAACGATGGCTCATCCTGGGGCCTCCATTGAGCCTGATACAGCCTCGTTTGGAGGAAAACTGCTTGAACGACTGTAGAATGGGATACGGTGCTGCATTATGACTGTGTTTGAAAATTTATGCCTTCATTTCGAGAACTTGGGCCTGTTGGGTTTGATGTTTGGGGCTAGTCTTCGCTTGTTCATCTGGGGGTCTTGGGCCCTAAACATAGCGACATAAGAAAACGGCCTTAAGAAAACCAGACTACCCTGACCCATCCCAGATTAAATGTTCCCATAGAACCAGCCGCTATCAAAATAAGAAAACCAAACCACCCTCGTCCCAGAAAGTATTTTCTTATACAGCGCTCCCGCTTACCCAGGAAATATTTCCAAACTGTCTAACTCTTGAAAGCTAGTTTTAGCGTAGTGTCCCTACTGAGGGCCTATAATACACTTTGCCCCAGTTTTCAGAAAAGCCCAGCACCTGCAGCAACTCCTGTGCTCACGTGCTATGCGGCTGCGTAGGTCAGTATCCGAGTCGCCCATGTCTTCAGCCTCCTCGTTGTCTTGCGAGGCCGATATCGAATAGATGTCGTGCTTATACATGAAGGAGTCCTCAGACAACTCAGAGACGCAGAGTGTAGGCTGCAATGTCACCGAAAACCAAAAATCAAAACGCACGGGGTCTTGGGCTCTGACAGAAACCAGGGTGTCGAGAAACGGGTCCAGGGGGAAGCAACCCAAAGGGAACAACGCTGAATAGACATTAGAATAGCAGCTTAGCACCTGGCGGCGCTGGCTAAGCGAAGCAATTGGTCTCTTACCCCTCAAAACTCAAAATGCACAGGGCGCCCGGCCTCTAGGGTCCTGCTTCTGAGGGACCCTCACAGCCCTCGACCGGAGTTCCGGGCAAGTGTCCCTCTTAGGGTTTCGGGCTTAGGGGTTTAGGGTTTAGGGTTGAGCTGTCTCAGGGTCAGGGGAAATGGTTTAATGTAGGGCCCTGAACAATTACCTATACTCTTTTGGGGCTTCCTTATTACTGTATAATTATGGCAATTATACCCCAAAACCGGATTCTAATCATCAAGCCCCCCTATGTTAGGCTTTTTGGGCAGGCAAGGCCTTTCTGCCGAGGATCGATGTCACAAATCGTCCCCGAGTGGCAGCAGTCGTTGATACAGAGGATCCGCACTCCTGCCGGGAGCAGCGCAAGAAGAGTTGAAACCGTAAATTTAAATTACAAATCCCGAGGTGCCGACCTCGAATCCTAAGACGCACTCCTAAAACACGAGCAGCAAAATCCAAACCCCAAGCCATCATCCCAAGCTCTCGGCGGTAGAGTTTCGGGCTTCAGGATCTGAGGTTTAGGATTGTAGGCTTTAGGGTTTATGGTTTTAGGCCTTGGGAGTTTGGCGGCCAACACTTGACATGTTTCGTGCACCGTGTAATATGAGGGCCTTCGTAACTGTAACAAAAAAAGGAGCCCCAGACGAGTGCTGGTAATCGAAATGGCCCCTATATTAGTGGGACATTCCGCAGATATGAAGCAAGGAATTGAACCGACAGGAGCGTCTCAACGGAATGTGAGATTCAGCAGTCATGGACAAGTAACATGCAGAGCTTTGCAGCACCCATGAGACCACCCCTAAAACCCTACATCCTAAATCCTGAGCCTGAAACCAAAATCCGACACCCTTAAACCCTGAAGCCTGCACCCTAAACCCTAGGTCCTAAACCCTAAACCCTAAACCCAAGCCGTAAACTCAAGCCATGAACCCAACAGTTCCGGTCCGTCTGGGACGAAGGTGTCCAAAGCCATGGCGAACTCATCCTCGTGGCTTATCTGTTTCAAACAAGTTAGAAGGGTTCTAGAATAGGTTTAGGGGGTTCTTTATTCTAGGTATAGTAATTACAATGACCCCGGAAACCCTTTCCTTTTTAGAGTGTGGGGTCTCAGGTTTTAAGGATCATAGGTTGTCGCCTTTAGGTTTCGGGGCTTAGGGAATACTGTAGGGGCCTTAATCATTAGAATAGGGGTTTGGGGCCCATTATACTATAACTACAAAAAAGAAGCCCCAAAATAGTATTGGTAATCATTTAGGCCCCTATAGTAAGCTTCGCACTGAGGCTTCGGGGCTTAGGGAATAGGGTATCGCACGCAGGCTTCCTAAGTAGTTTTGGAGATGCCTCGACACAGGGACCTCGAAGATGTCAAATAGTAATAATAACAATAACAATAATAGTATAACAGTAATGATAGTAGTAATAGTATTAAAAATACTAATAGTAATAATAGTAACTAGCAATAATAATAGTAATGAGACTTGTTCTGGGGTCTTGAGTTGGTCGGAGCTTAGACGTGTAACTATGCCCTGCAATCTCAGATCAAGCCCGATAGCCTCAACCCCAGGACTGCCGACTTTGCAAAGTGCGATATTCATGGTGTCGACTTTGAAGCAAGCATCGTCGATGAGGACAGCGGATTCGGTTAGCCGTCCGGTGACGTCAGGCGTGACGAAGGCCTGGAAGGTTGCGGCTGACATCGGGATACACGGTGCAGTCTACAGCTGGCTCGAGCTTCTTGCATGTCGCAACCATGAAATGACAGCTTCAGGGTCTTGCATTTGAAAAACTTAGGTGTTAATTTTGGCATCCCCTAGCCGTGGTTTGGGGTCTTGAAATTTAGGGTTTAGGGCTGAGGCATTGAAATAATTGTGATATGCGGCGTGTTTCAAGTGCGAATTCAAAACCTGACGGAGTGGCAGCCAAGGTAGAGCACTTTAAAGGGAACTTGTGATTGATGCGCTGTCTTTCCTACCACAGACGGATAATGGCTACTACTGGAAGTGATTTCATGCTGGAAGACCCGAACAAATTCCTAATGTGGGCCGCGGCTAAACCAGGTAAGTCGAACGAATCCTGAGCCTTCAGACCTACATCGAGGGCCAAAAGAGACGGTAATCAAGCAGAGTTTTCGAACACTTGTGAACTCGTGCAAAAAGCCCACATGCCCTCCATGCCTTATTTTTGCTTGCATGCATCAGCAATCGATTCTGGGTCGCAGGACTCCTGTACATCCTTCATTGACGACCTGCTGGGAACATAAACACCACGATCACCCCCTGCCCACCCCTGCCAAAAGAGGTGAAAGACATAATCGAGAAACAATCGAAGTCATTGATGAAACTCATCATTAGCATCATCATCATCATCATCATCATCTGCCGCTAAATCGCTAATTAGCTGCTAACCCCTAAACCTGAAGTCCCAAAGCCCTAAACGCCAAAACCCTAAACCGGACCTACCCTCAGCCCTAAATCCCCACAAATCCAATCGCCCTACACCCCGGTAATATGAACCGCACAACCAGACCCCAGGCCCTCAAATCCTAAACTGCAAAATATCAGAAAACCTAAACCCGAAACTCCAAAATCTCGAAAATACACGCACACACACAAAGGCCTGATCAAAGCCATCCTTCTCGTCGCCATTGAAATCCGGCACATTCACGCCATGCCCAGCCCAGAACCACACGAACCTTTGTTCGGGTTTAAGGGATGAAAAGTTTTAGGGCTCAGACTTCAGGGTTTCGTGTGAGAGCTTCAGGTGTAGGGTTGAGGGTTAATTTAGGCTTGAGGGTTTGGCAGTGAGGGTTCATGGTTTACTGCTCAGGGTTTAGGGCCGTCTAGCGTTCAGGGTACGGTTCAGGACGCAGGATGGCTTACAGGGTTTCGGGTCTCGGGCTCAGTGTTTGAGGTTCGCTGGAAGCTTGGTAGGGTTGAAGTGCAAGGTTGAGGATGGACCCCTGTGCAACCCTGAGGGATTTGAGCAAGGGTTGGGTGGCTTCGGCATCAGGTGTTCCGGGCGTAGCGTCTTTAGAGGGCTTTTGGAGTTGGAGTTCAAGGCTCAAGGTCTTAAAGTGTGGGATAATTATGTTCTTAGCCCTAAACCCGAACCCTGACTGAAGGCCTCCCGAAGTTGGAGTGTCATGCTTAGGTTCTGCCGGTTCATGCTTCCGGCGAGAGAGGAGTTGTCGTCCCGGGATGCAGGATTGATTTTGATGCAGTCTGCTTGCTCTTCAGCTGGGTGGGAAAATTGGAGGGTCACATGCTTAGCCTTGAACCGTTCAGGGGGGAGGGTGGAGGTGGGGACCTCAAACGCAAAAACAACTTACATGACATTCTCCCGGTTGTTAAGCTTCAAGGTGCTTGAGACTTGAGGTCTTGGGGGTGCTAACAGGCACCCCGGAGTTAGCCCAGAAGCATGAGAGAGAAATCCTCAGCCCAAAGCATCCACGCAAGCCCCTGTGGCTATATGTAAGCGATGAAAAGCAAGCCAAGGGAAGTGCAGTAAAAGTATACGGACATGAACGATGGGTTTTCGAATGTAGTAAGTATAGTATAGCACCGTGTACTCTAGCTTGTTTAGGCACATTCTAGTTTATTTCATCGTATAGGAGCACCTACTACCAACCTTGAACATGTACTTGGGGTTTCGCGAGCTGGGGGGTCCAACATGTAAGCCTGAAAACACGCAGCCGGCTGAAATCAAGGTTCCGATGGTGTTTGGGTTTCAGAAGATGAGGTTACGGGCCTAGGCTTCAGGGTTCAGAGTCTAGGTTTATAGGTTTATAACCCCCATGTCAGGAACAAATATGCCTTGCATGTATACCTTGCTCTATACGGAAAACGCTCACTTTCACTTTATACTGAAAGGGGTTCCTACTGACAGGAAACATTAGGAGTGTCGCTTCCCACATTCATTCAAGAAGCGACAAGGCATACGGGCTCCGTATAAATCTAGGAACTTCAAGTGGCTACTACTAGTACGAGCTTTTGACAGCGTATAGCGAGCAAGTTGCCAATCTCCTTCTTCGCAACGTTTCGCGACTTGCCGCATATGGCGGAGAACGAAAGAACCTCAGGTGTTCAAAAACTTTGTAAAAACCAGGACGAAGCCATGGGCCACTGAGCACGGGCCCATACACCACAATCACCATCGCCATATAATACGGAACCGACCTTCACCAATGCTTGACGAGGGAAACGGCGTAAACCTGCATGCTGCAACGTTAGCCGCGAGCCCCAGACTTGGAAATTCGAACGCCCAAAAGCATCTAAGGCTGATACACAAGCCGATGGCCTCAGCCATAAGCCCTAAGCCCAAATCCCCAACCCGAAGCCCTGTGAAACCTCAGAAGCTTTCGCCGAAAACCGACAGCTGGCTAACATATTCAAATCATTACCCCAAGCACTAAACGAAGCCTTATGCCCGAAACCATTCCCCCAGATCCGCTTTTGTAAATGGGATGTTCTGTGTATGCTACATGTCCTAACACTATCTCAGTATGTTATGGTAAATTATTCTGTCATTGCCGTATACTTATAATTACATATATATATATATACTATGTCAGTATACAATACAGCTCTAGGTACGTTATGCTATGTTATGCACTCGAGAGGTATGCTTAGGACTTAGGATTCCCCCTTGAGGATATAGACCCTCTCAACAAGGTCCCTGTTTAAGAGAGCCAGAAGTAGGGCTAAGATAAGGGCCCTACCTAGGAATGCCATAGCAGAAGTTTAGACCTTCACGTAGGGGCCTTAATAACTAGAACAGGGTTTGGGAGCATATTCGACTATGATTATAATACGGGAACCCGAAAAGCCCTTTTCAAACTATGAAGGCCCCTAACATAGAACTATATATCCCTTTATGGACCCCTTTAAGGAACCCTTTAAAGGAGCCCCTAGTCTAAGTCTTAACATAGAACCCTCCAATAGATCCCTTAAAGAACCCCTAGTCTAAGTCTTAAGGCCCCTAAACCCTAAACCCTAAACCCCACTTCGCACTCCAGAAAGCCGAGAATGCGAGGCCCCGGCGCGTGGGAAAGCTGGGATCTCCAACACCGGCCTCTTTAAGTATCCCTTGAAGGAATCCTTTAGGTTTTTAGGGTTTAAGGTTTAAGGTTTGGGGTTTAGGGTTTAAGGTTTAGGGTTTGGGGTTTAGGGTTTAAGGTTGAGGGTTTAGGGTGTAAGGTTTAGGGCTTTGGGTTTAAGGTTCAGGGTTTAAGGGTTTAGGGCTGAAGTTCCTTGTAAGCTCCGTGAACGTGTACATAGGTTTGAGGAGCGGCTTTGGTTGCTTACTCAGGGTTTTAACCTACCTCGCTCTTGCCTTGGAGGATCGTAGCAGCGACTACTGTTTTATAGCTAGTGAAAACAAGCCCTCAGCTAAGTCCTGAATCCTTAACCCAGGCCCCCATTCCCTGCGTCCGCACCCCAACCCTAAACTCTTGAGTGAAACCACGAAGCCTGAAGTCACGCTAACTTGGCAGGGATTTGCGGGGGTGACTGACCTCCAGACGCAACTTCGAAGCCTCCTGACACCATGAAGGCTCTTCGAACTTCACTGCACATCAGGTCGACAGCTACTCACAAACCATGACGAAATTCGCAATTGTGTACTGTGTATGTGCCGATGACCTTGTCCGTGATTACGGTAATGTCGTCCACGCCGGCACGTCCCGCCATCCTGTGCAGCTATCTGCGGCTCCTTAAACCTGAAACTCTGCTAATACAGCTTCGATCAGCCATGGGACATGGCTACATTCATATTGACAGGCCCTGAGGCCCGGATTTCACTTCCATCACGGCTGGGGTTTCAAAAGCACAGACTGGGAGGTGCTGAGGTTTTCGGTACATCCCTCAGTACTGGCCCGGACCCCAAACACTTGACGTAAAATCTACAGTACCCCTGCAGTACCCTCATAAGTTCTTCCATGATACCTCATGCAAGTCCTCGCTTTCTTCACCGTTGAAAAGCCCTGCCTGTACATGGTGCGTGCATCCTTTGTGCACGTTAGCTCGGCGGAGGGAGCGTAGTCATAGTCTAAAGCGATGATGAGCATGCCTGAGCTTGGGGTTGGGGAGTTTGGAAAGTTGAGGGTGTGGGGTTTAGGATTTCGAGCTTTTTGTTTAGGGTTGTGAATTGGGGGCTCTCAGCTTTAGGGCGGAGGTTTACGCTGCTCAGCTTTACGTTTCAGGCTTCAGGAGCCTTGGAAGCGGGAAGGCAAGACAAGGGGCTGCAGAGTTGTTCTCACAAGGAGCCCTTGTTCTGATATACCCATGCCGGCTCAGACAGCCCAAACATCAATCAAGCAAACGCACAATTGCCACAAAGGCCGCCTGTCAATGGAGCTTTTGTTGGATGCTACAAGTAAATGGCTCGGGGGCCTCTGAAAGCCAACAGCCTTTTTCTGGCTGGTCCAGAAGCCCGGTGAGAGTGCAGTGATCAGGGTTTAGGGTCGAAGCACTGATCAACTCGTTGCAAATCTGTGCCCGCACGCTAAGAAACGAAAGAACTTCAAGCGCAGGCCACCGGAAACCGACCAATGTGTTGCCTAGTTAGGCACTAGCAAACCGCACTTCTCGAACCGCAACCTGTCAAACCCTGGACACAGGAAACCCAAAGCCAGCAACCCCCAAACCTTCCTAGGCCCGACGGAGCCCTAAAGGTTTCGGCTTTAGGGTTTAGGGGTTTAGGACTTAAGGTTTAGGGTTTCTCTCAGCCCATCCCACCAGCCCCAACCCCTCGTCTCTTCAACCCTGTCGCAACACCTCAGACTGGGAAGCTGTAAAGGAATCTTCACGGGGCCCCTGAATGTAATCCCCAACTCGCGATCCTTCAAGCAAGAATTAAGAATTGAAGCCCATGTAGGCTTCAAGGAGCCCTTAAAGGAGCCCTTAAGACCCCTTAGAGGAACCCTTGAAGACCCTTAGAGAAACCCTTCAAGACCCCTTAGAGGAACCCTTAAAGACCCCTTAGAGACCCCTTAAAGAAGCCCCTTTAGAGGAACCCTGAAAAACCCCTTAGAGGAGCGCGCTTAAAGACCCCTTAAAGGCCCCTTAGAGGAAGCCCTTAAAGACACCCTTACAGGCCCCTTTAAAGGAAGCCCCTTTAGAGGAACCCTTAAAGACCCCTTAGAGGAAGCCCTGAAAGACCCCTTTAAGGGAAGAGCCCGAGGCGCGGATGCATCCCCCGGAGTCGCGCCAGGGCTCCAAGGGCCCGTCGCCACAGCAGTGGCAAAGGCCACAATCTCAGAGGCATTGGGTTTAGGGTTTAGGGTTTATAGTTTCTAGGGTTTAGGGTTTAGGGTTTATAGGGTTTTGGGTTTAGGGGTTAGGGGTTAGGGTTTAGGGGTTTAGGGTTCAGAGGTTTAGGGTTCAGGGTTTATAGGGTTTAGGGTTTAGGGGTTTAGGGTTTAGGGTTTATAGGGGTTAGGGTTTAGGGGTTTAGGGGTTTAGGGTTCAGAGGTTTAGGGTTCAGGGTTTATAGGGTTTAGGGTTTAGGGGTTTAGGGGTTTAGGGTTTATAGGGTTTTGGGTTTAGGGTTTATAGGGTTTAGGGTTTAGGGTTTATAGGGTTTAGGGTTTAGGGTTTATAGTTTCTAGGGTTTAGGGTTTAGGGGTTAGGGTTTAGGGGTTTAGGGGTTTAGGGTTCAGAGGTTTAGGGTTCAGGGTTTATAGGGTTTAGGGTTTAAAATTTAGGGGTTTAGGGTTTAGGGTTTATAGGGGTTAGGGTTTAGGGGTTTAGGGGTTTAGGGTTCAGAGGTTTAGGGTTCAGGGTTTATAGGGTTTAGGGTTTAGGGGTTTAGGGGTTTAGGGTTTATAGGGTTTTGGGTTTAGGGTTTATAGGGTTTAGGGTTTAGGGTTTATAGGGTTTAGGGTTTAGGGTTTATAGTTTCTAGGGTTTAGGGTTTAGGGGTTAGGGTTTAGGGGTTTAGGGGTTTAGGGTTCAGAGGTTTAGGGTTCAGGGTTTATAGGGTTTAGGGTTTAGGGGTTTAGGGTTTAGGGTTTATAGGGTTTAGGGTTTATAGGGTTTGGGGTTTAGGGTTTAGGGGTTTTATAGGGTTTAGAGGTTTGGGGTTTAGGGGTTTAGGGGTTTAGTTTAGGGTTTAGGATTCTTCAGGGTTTGGGTTTTGAGGTTCTGAGGCTTAGGGTGTAGGTGTAGGATTCTTCAGGGTTTGGGTTTTGAGGTTGTGGGGTTTTGAGTGTAGGGTTTAGGATTCTTCAGGGTTTGGGTCTTGGGGTTGTGGGGTTTTGGGCTTTGGGTTTAGGGTTTAAAGGACGCAGCTTAGAGACTTTGATTTAGGATGCAGAAGCATTCATGGGTTTCTGGTGTGGAGAGCTAGCTGCACCACGTAAGATAGGCTTGGCACCGGTTTCCACGTCAATATGTTGCACACCCGTTTACTCTAAGCCCTAAACCGAATCTGCTGACAAGGTTTGCTAACCAAACACTCTCATGCCATAAACCCAGACCCAGGAAACAAAGAGCCCTAACGCCCCCTCCTAACCCTAAAACCCCGAAAAGCTAAGCCCCAAAGCCTAAACTCTCGAAAAGTACAGCAGCGGACAGCCACAGATTCAGTCTGAGCGGCTGCATTTTGAGTCCCCCGCACCCATTTTCAAACGCTTAGCGCTCGCGCCCAAACTCCGTAGCTAATATAGAAGCCTGAGTATTTGGTAAAAACTTTCCATGCGGTTCCGTAAAAATGTTTTAGCTTTACATTATCGTATACCCCAAATCCCTTTTCTAACTAGTAAGGCCCCTACTAGGATGTAGTATGGTTTGGAGTCTAAGTCTGGGGCTGGACGGAAGGCACGAACAAACAAGACGCCACTTACCCTACTGGTTGGTACCACGACTGCGAACTTTGTGATATTTCATATGGTGCTCTCGGAGCACCTAGCAACTGCTCACTTCGGCGAACCTCCCTGGGCCGTGGAGGACTCCACCTCGATGTTGAAGAACCGAGCCTATGACCTCACTGCTATATCAGCTAAACCCTGAGTATGCTCTAAATCGCAAAACCCAAAACCATCCAAAATCCGAAAACCGCAACACCAATCCTCAAATCGCTTGAGCCTCTTCTCCGGAGCCAAAAAGCGCGATGTCCAGCCCGGTGTAGGGTTGAGGGTTTAGGATTCAGGGTTCAGGAACCCGGAGGAGGGTTTCGGCCTTTGGGGTCTAGTGAAGACAGTCGCCTACATCCAGCAGGGGCCACTGCACTCACGCTATCTTAAGTGCCTCAACATTTCGATAAATAGGGATATCATGGAAACCGTATCACTCAGTCTTCCAACCCGATATGAGAAGCCCAATATCTTGCATCCCAGTCCCGCTCGAACCTGCTACTTCTAGAGCTCTAAGCACTGAAATACCACACGATGCGTGTCTTCCTTAGCAGGGTCTTATAGTATCAGCCTGGCACTAATCACCATGTCTCTCGTTGTCTATGCTGGCTTGTTCGTCTTCTTACTCACATCCTTCTTGCTGCCGTTGCTGTCAACACGTCTAGCAACAGTCTTGCTAGTCTCCGTAATGCTTTGGCTCTGACCATTGCAACTCTTATGGTTGCTTCGGCTTGCACTGAAGATTTTAAAGACTAACAGTCCGCCATTTCCAGTTCTCACTTTTGACACAATCGATGTTATTCGCCGGACGCACGAATACTCATGACTACTGCCACCAGGATTGTTATTGTAAAGGTTACGATTGCCATTCCTTAAATATGAGGGCTGGCACCAGTAATCACCTGTACAGTCACTACGTTGTATAATAGTGCTGCGCTTATTGCCGCTACAATACTGACGTTGCTTGACACATTCTCTTTGTTTTTGGCCAGCATTAGGACTAAGCACCATAACTGTTCATAGGCTCACTTTCCTAGGTATGAAGATGCAGGTCATCATCATCATCATCATCATCACCGTCATCATGATAATGTTTGCACATCGTACGGTAACTCTTCTCGTCCTTAGTGATATCAGCATTGCTCTTGCTTCATTCCGGCTCAAGCACCCTTTTCTGTGCGCGAGCGAGCGAGGATGGATCGGGCTGAGGAGGACCGATTGTCTCTTCGCTGGGATTGTCAGTTTCCTCGTGAGGGGTCCGAGCACCAGTTTGGAGCACAGGGTTTAGGGTGTAGGGTTTAACTAAGCAGGCCCTAACCTCAAACCCTTCATCACGATCCTCGTTGGTACCCATTAGCTGCAGCATCCGAGTACTCACCATGCACGTCCCACCAGACCTTCACTTGACAGTAGCCGCAGGCTGCACTCCTACGAAACCTTACGCCAGGCAACCCGACAATCAGTCAAAAATCTAAGCTTCAGAGATCTCTGCATCTGCTACCAGATTACCTCAAGCTAGAAGGAGGTTGAGCATTCTACGATGGTGCGTTGCAACCTGGCCAATTTGGGGGCGAAGGCTTTCGAAGTACCGGTGCACATGGGTTTGAGGCTTGTAAACTCGTAAGTCTCAATCTTGGATGTTTGGGATCATGAATTTTAGCCATTTTGGAACAATCAAGTCCTCAGGGCCGATCTCGAAGCTCTCACTGTGCGTACTGGCTCGCTCGGTGGATGGCGCTCTTGTACAACCTGGCATCATCTCGGCGGGCTCCCCAGCTTTCGGAAGTGTTGTTGATGATATCCTGCATTACCTTCAGGACCCTAAACTATGGGAATTATGGTCTATTCCTTGTTTTGGGTAATGCAGGATTTCGATCATCAACCGTTGTACGTAGCGTAGTGATGGCAGTGATGGCATACAGTCACTGCTTCACCTCATTTCACCTCCACCACTCGACTCTGTCTCCTCCTCCTGCTACTCCTGCTACCTCTATCATCCACCCCTAATTGCTGCTTGCTCTTCCCAGAAGTGCCTGCATTGGAGTCCACAAACCTCTTGCCTATGAGTCACACTCGCCTCTCTCCCTAAACCCCGCAGCGAGACTCGAAATGCCCTCCCGGACCCCAAATGGATGCCTTAACCCCAAACACCTGAAAGCACTTAGGCCTGTGGCTGATCAGGTCTAAGACGACCATCACGCCCATAAGACCGC